TAGCTTTCAAAATACTAAAAGGAATAACATCGAATTAACTGGAAGATATTGTTTAAATAAAAGACAACTTTAGATCTTATTAATATTCTAAATAAAGCAAAAATAAATGTATAATCTGTATAAAGGTTGTATAACTAATGTTATAATCTGCTCATTAGTATCTCTGTGGTACATCATTAAACTTATCATATAGGCAATCTGACTTTATATTACTTTTTCCATAGTGCATTGTTGTTATTTCTTTAAATTTCAAACAATATGTTTGAATATTGGATATTTAGATTATGCTACAAAAATAATTAAATTCTCATACAAACATATAAAAATATAGCCACATATATCCATTTTTTCCTCCATAACTCTATAATTTAATTTGTTTCAAAGATTCTTTGGTCCAGTGTTTTTATTTTGTTAACTTAATAAGGTTTCATACCTATGAAAATTTGTACATATATTCTCTATACCAGTAAATCTTTTTCTTTTTATCTTTTTTCTTTTTTAAAATCGCATTTCAATTAAAAATGATCATAGTAGAACTGAAAATTACATAGATAAATAATAAACAAAATAAAAATAAAAAGTAAAAATAGAAGCAAAACACCAGAAATGAATATTAACATAGAATAAATCAAATTGAAAAGAAGTAATGACGGTCATATTAACCGACATTTATAAGAAGCAAACAAAGTCGATGTCAACATTTAGTCCCCATGGTTCCAAAGTATGTAACTTATGTATCCAAAAGATCTCTCTTTGGGACAATCTCTGGACCCTATTCCCTCCTCTCCAATGGGGTAAAACCCTCTCAATTACAATAATTTTAAAGTTTTTAAAGGAAAAAAGGGGACATGAGTGACAATGTACGGGGACCGAATGTGACAAAAGACCTTTTTTGATGTTGTTTATATGCTCCAAAACAGGAGTTTTTAAGTTTCTCTTAGTTCGGCCAACATATTGTTTGCCGCACGGACACTGCAGTAAGTAAACCACAAAGTCCATGCGGCATTCCCATCTCCGCTTTGATACAAAAAGACTCCCCAGTGACAGAACTACAAAAAGTTTTAGTTTTAATAAAATTAACCGTTTAGCAGGCCTTGAAACTATTACACCCCCTAAATCCTTTTATTGTTTCTATCTCCCTACTGGTTTTAAATTTTAAAGCATAACTGGGGGCTTGTAGATTTCTTAAATTCCAATGTTTTCTACATATTAAAGTAGGATGTTTTGGTAGGGAGCTTCCCAATATTGGATCTTCCAAGTAACACAGACCAATATTTTTGTAGACCCTTTTTGATACGTTGATGGTTTACATTATATTGTGTGGTAAATGCATATTTTTAAAAAATCACCGAAATCTTCTGTTTTTGGTTTGTCCATTAGAAACTCACTCCTTTCCATCTTCTTTATGGCCCTAATCGCTTTTTCCAGACTGTATTTATTATATCCCTTATTTATCAATTTATTCTTAATGCGTATTGATTGAGATTCAAAATCCTGGGGGTGGGAACAATTGCGCTTCACACGCATGAATTGGCTTTTGGCTATTCCTTTTAGCGCCGTCCTATGATGGTAACTATTATTATGAACATACCCATTGCTGTCAGTGGGTTTTAAAAAGCATTTTGATACAATATGATTATCCCTACACGTCAATGTCACATCTAAAAAAGTTATAGTAGTTTTATTCCAAACTGGTGTAAATTTTAAGTGATGTTGGTTATAATTAAAATATCCCACAAATTCTTGAAAACAAAAAGAAGACCCCTTCCAAATATCATCGATGTATCTCTGTCAGAGCACCAGGTTCTCCCTCCAGCCATGACCAGACCACACAAAGAGATTTTCCCATCTTCTCATGTATGTGTTGGCATAGCTGGGGGCGAACCTGGTGCCCATGGCGATCCCCGTGATCTGTAAATAATACTTTTCATTAAAGAAAAAATAATTATGCTCTAAAATAAATTGAACTGATGTCACTACAAAATTTTTAACCTGGGAAGATATTTTAATATCCCTGGTCATAAAGTAATCTATAGCCTCAAGTCCCAAATGGTGTTCAATTACTGTATATAATGAATTAACATCGAGCGTTGCCCAGCTGTATTCTGGACTCCACTCGAAGTTCTCTATCTCCTGCTAAAATGATTTGGTGTCTTTAACGTAAAATGGTGCTGTTTGTGCATATGTTTGTAAAAATGAATCAACAAATGCTGATAAATTGGCTGTAATAGAATTTATCCCACTGATTATTGGACGTCCTGGAGGTTTTAACAGATTTTTATGAGTTGTAGGTAAAAAAAAAAGATGGGAATTGTAGGAGTGAGTTGCAATATATAGTCAAAATTTGGTTGAGAGATTGTATTTTCTAATTTGGCTTGTCTCAACAGTTGTTCTAGTTGAGAGTTAAATTTTTTTTGCGGGATCTTCCTTAAGTACTGTATGTTTTAACATCTCCTAGGATATTTTGGTCTTCCTGCAGATAGTATTCAGTGGACATGACCACTATACCCCCTTCCCTCATCCCCCCCCCTCCCCCCCTTGTCAGCTCCCTTGATAATAATGTCCCTTCTTTTAATAAGATTATTGAGACATAATTCCTCTTTTTTTGTTAAATTGTTTGTGAAATATTTTTTAAGATTATTGAACAAAGATCTGAATTCTTTGTCCACCATTTGTTCAAAAACTGCCAAATAAGGACCTTTGCTTTGTATTGGGAAAAAACGTGATTTGGGTTTTAAATGTTTCCTTTGGGAATCTTCACTTTCTATATCATTTGACCCAGAGGGATGCATAAGGAAATGTCGTCTGATATATTTTGTCAGGTCTATGTAAAGATCAAAGTAATTTCCCTGATCATTAGGGGCAACTTTCATGTCTTTTTCCAATACTGAGATTTCTTCGCCTGACAATGGGATACCCGATATGTTAAATATACCTTTATCTATATCATTTACGATTAGATTTTCATAGGTTAACCCTTTATTTTTTAATCTTCCAATCTGATTCTCTTTTGTGGGGTTATCTGTTTGGAGTGTGGAATATCGATTGGGGTGTTACTATGTTTCCCCTCGGGGTTTGAAATAGTTGGTGATTATTTTTTCTTTGGGTAAGTCACAATTTTTTAGCAACCCTCCTGTTTCTATTGGTTGCAGGAAGTTGGCTTCACTGAGGTCCAGTGGGAGCTGACTACAGGATGTTGAAGCAGTTAGTCTTTCTCCACTCCTCTCTGTGCCACCTCCTCTCTTCCCCATGCGGCTCCCTGCAAGCTAGGAGGAAGTGAACAGAATTCACTACCTCCATTAGGCTGCAGGGGAACTAGTGTTCTGACAACGGCCCGGTCCGTTTTTCTATTAAATAGCCAAGGGGCTTAACTGTGCCCCTGTTCAGAGATGAACATCAAGGGGCTCTAAGCGTGGACCCCGCACCTGGTGGGCTTGTAGTTTCATGGTTGCTGGCCCTGTGAGATGTGGAACAACCAGGGCCTGGTTGAACTTGCAGCCATTTTGACCCCAGGTGTTCCACCACTGACGCAAAACACCATAACCATTATAGCTAAAAGCTTGGAGTGGTAACCTCGCAGGTTGTCAAATCACTTGGAAATGGTTTGATAATTTACACTGGGTCTATTGGGCACTTATCACAGTATCCAGGAGAACTGGAAGCAGAGCTTCCTTTAACTTCCTTTATCTTCCAACATTGGCCATCTCAGAATCAGGATGCTGGAGTAAAGGGGACGAGCCAGTGATGGGATTGTTTCACTGTCTTCTCATAAAATGGGTGGACCCATTTTAACAAAATCTGTCAGCACCAAAGTTGCTTTTTAGTAGAGGAGTGCGCTGGATTTTCATTTTTATTGTACTTATTGGCTCCCAGCCGCACCCTATTTATACATGTTTAGGTGAGTGCAGCCAGCCCTTGTTTTCCCATCCTAAAGGGTGTCCACCCTTATGACTGGCAGATCAGCCTGGTAGGAATGCACACCAGGGTTGCTAAACCGTTTGAGGACTAAGGTTTGGTAAAATCACTTTTGGCAGTGACAGTCTAGACCAGGTCTGGACTGGCCATCGGGCAAACCGGCAAATGCCCGGTGTGCCGCGGTGGCCATGGGTCGAGGCCAGCAGGGGAGATCCACACACTCTACAGGCCCTATAAATACGCACACACAAATACTTTACAGTCCAGAAACACAAATACTACAGCCCCTAGTCACATATAGTACACCACAAACGGACTCTTTACACACACATACTACAACACAAACAGTCCTCTATTCATACATGCAATCGTACAAGCAAACTCCAAACACATACAACACCACAGGGAGCATCTACACATATGCACAACACACTTTAACAGCCCTGTTCCACTTCTGTTCTGTTCCACTTCTCTGGTATCCCACTATTGACGCCGTCAGAGACAAGTCACTAGCAAATGCAGCACATGCTTACGTTGTACAAAAAAGAAAACACAGGACATACTCCACCCCAGAGCACAGCACTAGATGCGATGGAGGGGCATCACATTAACGTAGACAGACACCCTTTCTGGACTCGCCCCTCATAGTGGGCTGCTCTGCCCTTATCTGCCAGGCTGAATTTTCATCCCAGTAAGGCCCTGATCCAGACATGTTTGGCTGATGGAAATACATTGTGTACATTAAGACGATATTATATCCCCTTTGTAAAAACAAAACTCCACAAAACTTGCTGGAAGTGATATGTACACATTGACTGATGTTTCTGTATACTTTAATTGCTCCTGGTTCATAATGCAAGTCTGACATAGATTTATTTAGTTGATAATCTGGTACTGTAGCACCATATCCCTCCTACCCCTCTTACCACACAAACAAATGTTGCACAATGCATAAAAGGGAGTGAGAATAAAAATGGATTTGTTAAGATTTACCTGGAATATAATAATGTACAATAACCTGGCAACGCCCTTTTCCCTGGTTGTAAGACTATTTATATCAGCCTCCTTAGACACAACTCATCAGAGCATGATGAAGTCCCAGAGTGTCTCAGTCTTATTCCTGCTATCAAGCTTTTTAACATTTATCTCTTTGAACTTAGCATATGACATCAAACCATCTGGTAAGATCCTACTGCATTTTTTACAATATAGGTTTAACATAGATTTAATAACAAATAACATAAATAATGCTTTACATGTATATCAAATAAATACTACTGCAACAGAGAATATATATATATATGTTCATATTTTGTACAGTAGTAGAGTAATATTGATAATGGATAAAATAATAATATAAATAAAATGTGTTGCACATATATCTAAATGAACATCTTGTTTCTTTTTGAAGCAAATAAGAGAAACAAGTATAAATTTGTTATTTTTTAGGCATTTAGTCCAAGACAGTGAATAAGCCCCCCCCCCCCCCTAGTTAGCGACATGAGTGTTTGAAGGAGTCTGTAGAGCAGGTATTTCGAACTCTGGCCCCTCAGATGTTTCCGAACTACAACTCCCATGATTCTCTGACCAACTTTTGCACTCATATAATTCTGGGAGTTGTGGGGAGCCAGAGTTTGAGATCCCTGCTGTATAGTAGTACATTCCTCTGAGGTTGAGATCCAGGATTGATAACACTTCAGAATATTCTTGGACAGTCCTGTTTTCAACCCAGTGTTTTGTCATCCCAGGATGCTTCTCTTTTGTCCTGTTTTTGGAGAAACCATAGAAAGTCCCTATAAAGAACAACACATGTCCATCATTAAGCTGGCCCAGAGCACTTAGAGGACATTGAGTATTTCAAATCAGGCAACGCAATGTGCCATTTCACTGTACAAATGCATTATGCAACTGTAGCTGGCAGACACACAAACCTCTTTAGGAATGCATTTTCCACTACATCTCAGTTGCATACATCACAACTTTGCTGCTGGGGGAAATGAAGGTCATGTGACCCTCGTGTCAAGCACGCCAGGCTCACACATGGGCTTTTGGCGAGCCCACTACAGAGTGCAGCGTCGTCTGCATGATTCTAGTGCCTTCTGCACAATGTGAGTGCATCTAATAATGGTTTCCCCAGATATGGAACATTAGGAAACAAAATCAGGACGGCAGCACAGGACCCCAAAGTCAGGACTGTCTCACCAAAAGCAGGACAGTTGAGAGGCATGCAGTTGTTACACATGCTGTGTTGCTAAGCGTATCCAACAGTACAAGAGAGTAGAAGAAAAGGAGTCAAGGTCACACCAAAAAAGTTCAACTCCAAAGGTGTCTAGAAAATCAGGACGCTTGGCAATTGTGCACTGCATAAAAAGCAGGATTAGCTCCAGAAAGCAGTTTGGCAAAACTCCGCTTTATAAATACTTCCAAAATTACGTTGAACCCGGGACTTTCAATACCAAACTGATTCTGTTGCAGTTTACCTCTTCCATATGCAGCCAGTGGCTGATAGCACACTCTGCTCCTATTTTGAAGCTAGACCGACAGATACTTTTTCCTGGAGCTTGCACAAGACTATCATACCTCTGAAATATTATTTAACGGTTACTCAAACATTTTTTAATCGTAAATAGTTTTTTTTCCTCATAAAGCATGATGGGAAATTTATATGTAGCTAGGTTCCTCCCCCTTAAACTGTGAAAAAACTTTTTAAAAATTTACCCGGAATTCAGTGTCGGATGAGGCTCCCAGCAGTGATCCTCATCTGAAGTAAAAATGATCTCATCTGACGACAATATTATAGATATATATATCTATATTAATAAATATATATGTATATAACTCTATATATCTATGTATAAATACATTATTTTTTTTTAAAATTACATATATATATATATATACATATTTAAATTCTACATATATATTTTTGTAATATTTTTACATAATTAAGTAATTTTATTAATTACAGTCTGAGGACCTGCCTGACAAACCAGGCAGAAAGTCCACAGAATTTGGTTTGCAGGCTCTATATTTTACCCTGTAACTTTCTAACACACCATAAAACCTGTACATGTGGGTACCGTTTTACTCGGGAGACTTCGCTGAACACAAATATTAGTGTTTTAAAACAGTAAAATGTATTACAACGATATCGTCAGTGAAAGAGCCATTTTTTGCTTTTTTTCACACACAAACGGCACTTTCACTGACGATATAATTGTTGTGATACGCTTTACGGTTCTCTAACGCTAATATTTCTGTTCAACGAAGTCTCCCAAGTATAACAGTACCCCTCATGTACAGGTTTTATGATGTTTTTAAAAGTTACAGAGTCAAATATAAGGCTTGCTTTCATTTTTTTCACAATGATATTTGCCAGATTGGTTATGTTGCCTTTGAGACCGTATTAGCATTAAACTTTGTTTTTTGCAATTTTCACACACAAACAAATGTGAACGCTAACTTTGGCCAGTGTTTGTGACTAAGTGGCTACTAAAAAAGACTGGACATACCCCATTTGTAATACCTTGGGTTGCCTACTTTTGTAAATGGTATGCCGTCATGGGGGTAATTCTCATTCCTCGGCTACCATACACTCTCAAAGGCAACATAACCAACCAGGCAAATTTCAATGTGAAAAAAATGAAAATCAAGCCTTATATTTGACCCTGTAACTCTCCAAAACCCCATAAAACCTGTACATTTGGGGTACTGTTTTACTCGTGAGACATTGCTGAATACAAATATGTGTATTTTATTACAGTAACAGCTAACAGTATAATGCTATTCACAGTTAAAATGCCATGCAGAACTAAAAAAAAAATAACATTTAATTTCTCAATTGTTTTTATATCAATATTAAATTATGTTTCATATATACATTTTTGATATGACATGAAATCCCTGTTTCTCCTGAACAAAATGATATATAATAAGTGTGTGTGCACTTAATATGAAAGAGGTGAATTCTGGTTGAACAGACATATGGCGCAAATTCAAAGTTTTGTTTACGTTTTGTTTTGATCACAACTTGTACAACTGCCTCAGTCCTTAAGGGGTTAAATGATAAATTCACTTAGAATAACCCTTTAAAATTAATCCCAGTTTCACCTACACGGTGGCCGTTTTGAGATGGAAATCAGCAATTCCAGGTGTATTATCTTTACCAATGTGACATATTTTCTTGGTGTTTCTATTGGTGGTTAAATACATAGACACCCACATGGCAAGCAATTCTTAAACTGTAAACTGAGATACATTAGACTCATCCTGATGTCAAATGGGTCTCCACTGCACTGGGGATGGCAGTGATTCTACAGTAGATCATCTGTTGTTGGCCGTGGACCTGACTAATAATTTGTGCATGTTTCAACTAGTGGGATTGCTTGGATCCCAACCCAAGTGTGAAAAACTCTTTGAACTTCCTTGTAGCCACTCCCAAAGAGATATGCAACTACTATTAAGACACTAACTAGCTGATTTGTTATATTTTGGCATGGTCTGTCTTCCCTTGCAGGGCTGTCAAATTGCCAATCAAATAATGGGATCATAGGTGTGCTCACTATATTAGGGTGTGCATACAGGCATGCTTAGGTTTGCCAAATTTCTGTAGCGCCTACGAGCAACAAACAAGTACATGCACACAAAAAGATTCAGAAGGGGTGAAAAAGGGGTTATTCTATAAATTAAAAGTATCACTTGGGACTGAAATCATTGCATGTTAAAATGCTGGAGATGATACAAGACAGGATATCAGAAGTGAATAAAAAAGGTTCATTTGTTTGTTCATACTGTTAATGTGTCTGCGAATGCAGGTATGTATACACTGATCAGCCACAACATTAAAACCACTGACAGAGGAAGTGAATAACATTGATTATATCGTTCAATGGCACCCATCGAGGGTTGAGGTATATTAGGTAGTAAGTGAACAGTCAGTTCTTGAATTCCATGTGTGTAAAAGATGGTAGGTTTCTAGCGCATATAGTTGAATAATGGAGGCAACTCAGACAACCAAACCCCGAGTCTTTCTATTCCGGTCCAGAAAAGGTGTGCATGATGGAGAGAAGGAGTAGTGTCCTAAGGGATTCTCAAATGAGGAATATGTAAAAGAGAAGAAATGCCAAATATAGTGTAGAAGCTTAAGTAAGAATAACTCAGAGATAATAGGAGATGCACTTACACTTTTTAGAGCTAGGAGAAGCTCTATTTTTTACACCTGGGCAGCACATTACCATACTGGGGATGCCTTTAGCTCCAATGACAGATATTCCAAGAATTATAAAAGATAAACAGAAAGATAAAAGTAAATCCTAATCTAGTGAAATATGTTGGAGTATAAGGATAAAATCAAAGTGAAAATACACTCACAGGTTTTGGAGCCTCCAACTGACTCCCAGAAAGCAGCATCAAGTGGTATAATCCCCACTTACTTGTTTGTTAATAGGAAATCTCACAGAGCATATATGCAGATAAGAACATAGAATAAAAAATATAGTGCTCACTGTTGATAATGAAAGCACATAAAACAAAAATTGGAGAGGTACTCACTGTCATGGAGCAAAATATCAGTTTTGCTCAGTCCACATTGCACAGGTGGTATGTGTAGCGTTACTCACCTTATCCAGGGGCCGGCCGCGGTCCTCTCTACAAGCCGCGCGCGGTCCTGCTGCTGCACGAGCCGCGCGTGGCTCATCCGACAGCTCCACTAGCAAGGCGGGCAGTGACCGCGAGAAGCGGTCACGTGTCCCGCCTGAATCTAAGAGTGCGCCGCGAGTCTCGGGCGCGCTCTTAAAGAGACAGTGGGAGCCTAAATTGTCAAAAGGCTCCCATTGGCCCCTGTCATACCACACTCCCCATACACTTACCTTTTGGGGGTGTGGATATGACAGGAGCCAATCACATTAGTTTTGAAGCTATTTAAACTTACCTCTCCCTTTACTCCCTGCCCTATCGTGGTTTCTGTATCAGTTCCCTTTAGCGCTTGTTGTGTTCAGTTGTGTTTCTCCGTATTGACTTTGGCTTTGTTTCTGACTACGTTTTCTCTTAATCCTTATCTGTTCTGGTTGTCGGCTTGCTGTTTACTGTGTACCAGACCCCGGCTTGTCCTAGTTTACGCTGTCTCTCTGTGCCCTTGATTTCGGATCGTTCCTGACTCTGTCTCCTCTCATATACGTCGAGTCCGGCCATTCTAAGGTCCGGTAGACGTATCTCTCCTCTGTGTTGTCTTCTGTTTAGCTGAATCCTGCGTGTTGGGGTATATTCTCGTTACATTACGATAGGGCCATGGACCCCGCAGATTTGGCTCAGCAAATGGCTTCTCATGAGGCAAGGTTTGTAGAGCAGGATCACCGTATGGATCAGATAGCACAGGCTCTCCAGACGCTCTTGTCTAGAACCATTCCTGCAACCGCACCTAACCCTCCTACACCTCATCCTCCCGAAGTATCCAATTCACCCAATTCTTCGCCCCATTTAACACCTCCTCCTAGGTATGGAGGGGAAGCCAAGACATGCAGAGGTTTTATTAATCAAATAGAATTCCACCTTGAGATGTATCCTCATTCCTTTCCCACTGATAGGTCTAAAGTGGGGTTTTTGATGCATCAACTTACTGACAAAGCACTTGAGTGGGCAAATCCTATTTGGGAGGCCAACGGACCTATGGTTCATAATTTCAATAGTTTTCTTACGGCTTTTCGTAGAACTTTTGACACAACAAAGAGGTCAAAGAATGCCGCAAGAGCATTAATGAGGATTAAATAGGGGTCTAGGTCTGTGGCGGATTATGCTATTCAGTTTCGTACCCTTGCTTCACAGGTAGATTGGACCAATAATGGGTTAACTACTGCGTTCATGGAAGGTTTATCTGACACTATATTAGATGAGGTAGCGGCAAGGGAGCTTCCTATTCCATTAGAGGATCTTATTGACTACCTCATTGATATAGATAATAGAATTCGCGACAGGCTCTATACCAAAAACAAGAATAGACGTCTGGTCACATCTATTAACCCCAGAGTTGATAAACCTGAGAGTGTTAAAGTACCCGAGGAGGAACCCATGCAATTAGGGGTTGCCAAACTCTCGGATACTGAAAAACTACTTAGAAGAAGGAATGGACTCTGCCTATACTGTGGTAGGCGAGACCATATGGTAAGGGAATGTCCTTTGCGTCCGGAAAACTCTCGCACCTAAGACCTTATAGGGGACTGGCCTTGGGTGTGATCTCTAAGTCTCCTAAATTGCCTCCTAATCGTTTGCTTCTCCCTGTTTCCCTTCATACGGGGGTGAGTTGTATAGCAGAATGCATACTAGCCTTGGTTGATTCTGGGGCTGCTGAGAACTTCATTGACTCTGAGTTTGTTACGAAAAATAACATTCCCGTCAGAGAAAGGGAGATACCCTTGGCCATTGAGGCCATAGATGGTAGACCTTTAAATACTCCAGTCGTTACCCATGAAACTGTACCATTATTCATGTACACAGGGGTTTTACACCTTGAGACCATTCGGTTTCAGGTTATCACCTCACCCTCTTCTCATATCGTGTTAGGGTACCCATGGTTGTGTTCTCACAATCCCATTTTTGACTGGGAATTGGGACAATTAAAATCATGGGGTAAAACCTGCCACGACTCTTGTATGATTAAAGTCACCCCTTTAAATACCATTAATGTTTCTACCACTCCTCCTTTGTCTACTGTTATACCTCCTCAATACTTGTTTCTCAAGACTGTATTCGATAAAAGGGAAGCTGATAAATTACCGCCTCACAGATCCTATGATTGTGCTATCGATTTATTGCCTGGCACTATACCTCCTAAGGGCAGGGTGTACCCCTTATCTATTCAAGAAAACCGTATCATGGAGGAGTATGTTAAAGAATCACTAGAAAAGGGGTTCATTAGGAGATCCTCTTCTCCGGCTGGAGCAGGGTTTTTCTTTGTATCTAAGAAAGAGGGTGATTTAAGACCGTGTATCGATTATAGAGGTCTAAACAAAATCACTATCAAAAATGCATACCCTATACCTTTAATTACAGAGTTATTTGACAGGCTGAAACATGCTACTGTGTTCACCAAATTGGACCTTAGAGGTGCATACAATTTAATACGCATAAAAGAAGGTCACGAATGGAAGACCGCATTCAACACTAGATCCGGTCATTACGAATATACTGTTATGCAATTTGGTCTTTGCAATGCCCCAGCAGTATTTCAGGAATTTATTAATGACGTCCTAAGAGACTTTATTCACACATTTGTAATTGTATACTTGGACGACATATTGATATATTCTACAGATTTACACACTCATCACAGGCATGTCACAACGGTATTGAAGACCCTTCTTAATAATGGTCTTTACTGTAAACTAGAAAAATGTTTATTTGACCAATCCGAAGTCCAGTTCTTGGGGTATTTGATTTCCGCCAAAGGGTTTCGTATGGATCCCCAGAAGCTTTCTGCGGTTATAGAGTGGCCTCTACCACAGGGTTTGAAAGCAATTCAACGTTTTCTTGGTTTCTCTAACTATTATAGACGCTTTATTAAGGGTTTTTCTTCTATTGTAGCACCTATCACCCGTATGACAAAAAAGGGTGGTAATACTCGTGTCTGGTCTCCCGAGGCACTTCAGGCTTTCGACTTTCTTAAAACTACATTCGCCTCGGCACCTATTTTACAGCACCCTATCCCCTCACTGCCTTATATTCTTGAAGTTGATGCTTCTGAAATCGGGGTAGGTGCTGTTTTGTCCCAAAGAGAATCGCCTGAAAAGCCATTGCATCCTTGTGGCTTCTTTTCTAGACAAATGTCCAAAGCTGAAAGGAATTATGATGTGGGTAATCGTGAACTCCTTGCTATTATCTTAGCCCTTAAAGAATGGAGACATCTGTTAGAAGGAACTAAGGATCCTATTCTAATTTTTACAGATCACAAGAATCTATCCTACCTTGGTGAAGCTAAAAGATTATCTTCTAGACAGGCCAGATGGTCACTATTTTTGTCCCGTTTCAATTATATTATCACCTATAGGCCAGGTGATCGCAACATTAAAGCAGATGCTCTGTCCAGACAGTTCGAAACTACTGACAAACAGGAGGTTGATGTTACTCCTGTCATTCCCCCAGACAGGATAATAGCCACTACTATGTTGTCTATTTCTTCATCCCTCTTGCAGACCATACAGGCGAAACAAAGTATGGCACCTAGCGAGAGGCCTATTGATAAATTGTTTGTTGATGTTCCAGAGAGACGGGAGATTCTGTCATTATATCATGATACTAAGACTGCTGGACATCCTGGTATTACCAAAACGATGTCAGCCGTTTCTCGATATTTTTGGTGGGGTTCCTTACGTAAGGATGTCACTGACTATATAAGTGCTTGTACTACTTGTGCATGTATGAAAACGTCTCGTAGAGTTCCTTGTGGGCTTCTGCATCCCTTACCAGTTCCCGAGAGACCTTGGTCTAACCTATCCATGGATTTTATTGTTGAATTACCCCCTTCGAATGGTAACACAGTCATCCTGATGATAGTAGATCGGTTTTCCAAGATGGCTCACTTTGTGTCTCTTCGCAAGTTGCCCACATCCAAGGAACTGGCTCTTATCTTCGCTAGAGAAGTATTTCGGTTACATGGTATTCCTGTATCTATCGTGTCCGATAGGGGTCAATTTATAGTCAATATAAATAGTCAATTTATTTCCAGGTTCTGGAAAGCCTTTTGCTCAGAAATGGGTATTTCTCTCTCATTTTCTTCCGCTTACCATCCCCAGTCTAATGGAGCTGCTGAACGTGCCAACCAGTCTCTGGAGCAGTACCTTCGTTGTTTTGTGTCTCACCATCAGGACAATTGGTCTGACCTACTTCCTTGGGCTGAGTTTGCTCGAAATAATGCCACTCATGATTCTTCCGGCAAAAGCCCTTTTTACGTTGTCTATGGCCAGCATCCCGTTGTTCTTCCGGCTGCATTCTCCTCACAGGGCATGCCAGTTCTGGATGAGCATTTGGCTGGTTTGCGTAATACTTGGGAGCAGGTTCAGCGTTCTTTGGTGGATTCCGCTGCTCGCCAGAAGGCTCAGGCTGACAAGCATCGCAGGGCGGCTCCTACTTATGTTGTGGGGACAGGGTTTTGCTTTCCACGCGGAATATTCGCCTGCGGGTGCCTTCTATGAAATTGGCTCCCCGCTTCATAGGTCCTTATCGTATACTGCATAAGGTTAATCCTGTTTCATACGCCTTGGGTCTTCCTAGGAATCTGCGTATTCCTAATGTGTTTCACACTTCGTTGTTAAAACCTTACGTACGCAACCGCTATACCCGGCATTCTCCGCCTCCCCCTCCTGTCTCCGTGGAGGGTCATGAGGAATTCGAAGTCTCTGCTGTTCTTGACTCTCGTTACCTTAGGGGTCGACTTCAGTACTTGGTGCATTGGAAGGGTTATGGGCCTGAGGAGCGCAGTTGGATTTCAGTTGATGCTGTTCACGCTCCCCGCCTTGTGCGTTCCTACCATTCTCGTTTTCCTGCCAGGCCTGGCCCTACCCGCCCGGAGGGCGTGTCCTCAGGGAGGGGTACTGTAGCGTTACTCACCTTATCCAGGGGCCGGCCGCGGTCCTCTCTTCAAGCCGCGCGCGGTCCTGCTGCTGCACGAGCCGCGCGCGGCTCATCCGACAGCTCCACTAGCAAGGCGGGCAGTGACCGCGAGAAGCGGTCACGTGTCCCGCCTGAATCTAAGAGCGCGCCGCGAGTCTCGGGCGCGCTCTTAAAGAGACAGTGGGAGCCTAAATTGTCAAAAGGCTCCCATTGGCCCCTGTCATACCACACTCCCCATACACTTACCTTTTGGGGGTGTGGATATGACAGGAGCCAATCACATTAGTTTTGAAGCTATTTAAACTTACCTCTCCCTTTACTCCCTGCCCTATCGTGGTTTCTGTATCAGTTCCCTTTAGCGCTTGTTGTGTTCAGTTGTGTTTCTCCGTATTGACTTTGGCTTTGTTTCTGACTACGTTTTCTCTTAATCCTTATCTGTTCTGGTTGTCGGCTTGCTGTTTACTGTGTACCAGACCCCGGCTTGTCCTAGTTTACGCTGTCTCTCTGTGCCCTTGATTTCGGATCGTTCCTGACTCTGTCTCCTCTCATATACGTCGAGTCCGGCCATTCTAAGGTCCGGTAGACGTATCTCTCCTCTGTGTTGTCATCTGTTTAGCTGAATCCTGCGTGTTGGGGTATATTCTCGTTACAGTATGCTACCCACCAAATGAATGAGTGGTCCAACTCCGGGAAAAGGAAACCAGGGTAAGCCCAGTGATATAGTGAAAAAAAAATACTTTATTAACTCTTTCTTTAAAATAAATATAACAGTAAAAGCAATATCATAAATGAATAACACTGATCTGTTTCACCTTCAGTAAGTCTTTCTCAAAGTGTTCACACATCGAAAGACCCCCAGCTGCCACACACAAAGCCAGTTATAACATATACTTTAAAATGTATATAAATGTAAAAAGGAAGCTAGTCCTAGCAGGTAAGGCGTCCTTCATTTATATTTATGCAGTGTAATCACAATGCTCATAGATGACTCACTGAGAACTTTATGGCACCTGTTACTGATGAAGTTCAACTTCATTGGGCTGGGCATTAATTAATGTAGTAACTTTAAAATAACATGTTTCTTGGTTTTTCATTACATGCAGAACAATCAAACACTTGTCAAGGAAAGTTCAGTGACCCATTTCTGTATGTTAAGCAAGCAATAATCTAGAGGCGGATTAAAAGGCCAAATTCTGGAGGGGCAGTGCTAGACATTAATTAAGGATTTCAATTTGGAAAATAGGCACGCACATTTGCACAAATACATACACAAAAATTGGTACAGTGACAAATACCTAAATTCACAAATACACAAATTCATACATATGCCCAAACACAGATACCCATGCCCACATACAAGTAGATACACACATTCATATAAACAACATGTCTATAGGCATTTGATGAATGGTCATTCCTTTATCCCTTGTTGCCACGCAAGACAAAAATGTCTCTGGTGATCACCCTCTGGATCTGTCATGCTTTAAGCATAGGTTTGATGTAGTTAGGTCACTGTCCTACAGTAGTATAATTGTGTTGTCGAACATCCACCATATTCCAAGCTACTTTATTTCCTAGGAAAGATTTGCACATTTCTGAAGACAGGTGAGACAAGAAGGGTTGTTGGGTAGTTTGTAGTTCATGGGCCGTTTTCCCTTATGAAAATGGAATGATTTTCAGATCTGCTTTTAGCACAGTAGCAAAAATGTTACAGGGTTATGCACTGAAGTTAGAATTCCAAGTGAATCTCAAATTCAAGGCAACAGCTGCACTGGAAACATTCTCTAAGTTTGCTATGGTCTTAAAGGACCACTATAGTGCCAGGAAAACATACTCGTTTTCCTGGCACTATAGTGCCCTGAGGGTGCCCCCACCCTCAGGGTCCCCCTCCCGCCCGGCTCTGGAAGGGGGAAAGGGGTAAAAACTTACCTTTTTCCAGCGCTGGGCGTGGAGCTCTCCTCCTCCGATCCTCCTCCGTTCCTCCTCCTGGGCTGAATGCGCACGCGCGGCAGGAGCTGCGCGCGCATTCAGCCCGTCGCATAGGAAAGCATTTACACAGTGAGAAGCACGCAAGCACCTCTAGTGGCTGTCAATGAGACAGCCACTAGAGGAATTGGGGGAAGGCTTAACCCATTCATAAACATAGCAGTTTCTCTGAAACTGCTATGTTTATAAAAAAAATGGGTTAACCCTAGAAGGACCAGGCACCCAGACCACTTTGTTAAGCTGAAGTGGTCTGGGTGCCTAGAGTGGTCCTTTAAATTTGATATTCACTTGCATTCTCATTTTAGAGAATTTAGAGAACCCTGTTAATTTCAAATATTCATTTCCAAGTATCAACTTGTGAATATATATAGCAGTGGCAGCTTCTTGTCAGACTAGGTAGAGGATAAAGAAGATCCTGTACCGTGGTCTGTGAGCACTACAACAGGAGGTAAGAGCAACAAAAGAAAGAGGGGGGAGAGCAAGTTAAACAAGGGGAGTTAGATGTACACAAAAGGGGGAGTAAGAGTCACATAAAGGAGGGTTTAAAAACCCAAAATGGTGCAAAAGGGGGTATAAGAGACAAAAAAAATAGGGATGAGATACAACAGGGACAACAGGATGAATAAGATGGGCAAAAAGGGGTTAAGAGACGCAGGCAAAGATGCATGTGGCGGGGGAGGGCAGCAAAATGTGTCTTTTGATTGTGTTGCCAAAACTCATTGCACCCTGACCAGATCTGTTAAGTCCAGCAAATTAAGGATACTCACACATATATTTCTGTAAGTGTTTCTAGATCTCTAACTGAATACAAAACTGATTGGTACATGTCAGTGTGGACATTTATACTGATGTACAAAAAGTATAATTAACAACCTTCCATTCCATATATTTTTTATTAGTGTATCATCAATGTAAATCTGCTTGTTTTATTTTTTCCAGGGGAGTGCCCACCATATCCCCACAATGTTCGTTGTTTGGCTAATCCTAAAGATTTGTGCAACGATGTTGACAGCTGCGATTGGGGCAGAAAGTGCTGTTTTAATGGCTGCATATATTTATGTATGATCCCAGTCGGAGGTGAGAGATGACAATGATTGATTGATGTTTGAAATGCTAAGTACATTTTGGCCGTATTGACCACCCTTAAAATAAAGATTTTAGATAAAAGGCATAGTCACTTTTCAATGTTTCCATAAAGGTAAATTGTTTATTAATGAAGGCCCACCTCATAAAAAATATTCTGCATGTAAAGGCCAAATTTAAAATGCACCTGACATAATTAACTCTTGTTGTAGAGTATAAAATTGTACAAACAAAAGTATTTTAGCCCCTTAAGGACCAAACTTCTGGAATAAAAGGGAATCATGACATGTCACACATGTCATGTGTCCTTAAGGGGTTAAAATTGTATTATTTATCACTATGGCTTTGACACAATGTCATCACTTACATCCACTCTCCATCCAAATAAAGCTCAAGATTCTGATAGCTTCTGTGCACCCATATGTTAGCAATCATTTGGGAGATAGCTGTATGTGCAGTTGTTCTGTACACTCCAAGGTCACCCTAAGGTGATTTGCTGATAATATTGCCTGAAGGTAAATCTGCCATCTCTGCAATCTGCATACAACCGATTCATTTTAAAGTCAAATAGAAACTCCCAGGGCAGTTTCTAAAAAAAAATCTGGTTTCCTGGGAAAATTTTAAAAAAAATGCTCCCCCTAAATTCTAGAGAACAACCTTCCCACATATCCCCTACTTATGTACATTTCACCCTCTCCATTTATTACACCAAATTGTGTCCCTATGACCTCATTCTTCCTCATGTTTCTCTTCCCCTGCTTATATTGTCACCCTTGTGTACCTCCTAGTTTCTCCTCTACTTCACCTCCCCCAGAAGTAACTTTCCATCTCCCCACACTTCCCTCTGCAGATGTGTATTTTTACATTGCATTTTTCTAGTATTTTGTTTTTCCTTTTGGAATTCCTGAAAATTCCTTTGGAATTTCTTTCTACTTTTTCTCTCTTGTTGTATCTCACACCACATGTGTGTTTGTCACTCTGTTTTCCCCAACTTCACCCCATGTCTTCTCATTTCTTCTCACTCCGGTTCCCAGACTCCAAAACACTCTCTTTCATTGTTTCTTCCCAATTAGTGTATCTTTTTCTCATTGCCCAACTTTATGTATTTACATAGGCTGAAATGAGACACATGTGCATCTAGTTCAGCCTTTCTCATATCTGTTTTTGATATTATTATTATTTTATTATTTATATAGTGCCAGCAAATTCTGTAGTGCTGTACAATGGGTGGACTAACAAACACGTAATTGTATCCAGACAAATGGACACACAGGAACAGAGGGGTTGAGGGCCCTGCTCAATGAGCTTACATGTTAGAGAGAGTGCGGTATACTGACACAACAGGTATAAGTAGGGATAATGAAATAGGTTGCTAGAAAAGTATTAGGTTATTTTTGACAGTTGCAGGAGAGGAGTCATGGGTGGGGATGGAGAATTAATGAAAACCTGCTAACAGTTTAAATTATATGCTTTCCTGAAGAAATGTGTTTTCAAAGATTTTTTGAAGGAGTGGAGACTGGGTGAATGTCTAACAGGGAACGGAAGGGAGTTCCACTGAAATGGTGCAGCCCTTGAGAAGTCTTGGAGGCGAGCATCAGATTTGGGAGTACGGACAGAAGATAGACGTAGGTCTTCGGCAGAGCACAGGGGCCTCAACGCGTCATACTTGTGTATTAGGGAGGATAGGTACGTTGGAGCAGCATTATATAGGGACTTGTAAGCAAGCACCAGAATCTTAAATTGAGCCCTATATCTAACTGGAAGCCACTGTAGGGACTGACAGAGGGGGGAGGCATGGGAAGTGCGTGCGGACAGGAAAATGAGCCTCACCGCCAAATTCATTAATGATTGCAGCGGTGCAATCTGGGAACACGTAAGACCACTGAGAAGGGGATTGCAGTAGTCAAGGCGAGAAAGAACAATGGTATGGACTAGCACCTTAGCCGTATCTGGTGTTAAAAAGGGGCGGATGCGAGTTATGTTTTTGAGATGGAAGCGGCAGGATTTGGCGATCGACTGGACATAAGGGGTGAAGGAGAGGTCGGAGTCAAAGAGAACACATAGGCAGCGAGCCTGCAAGGTAGAGGTGATGGTGGCGCCGTTGAGATGGAGGGAGACAGCCCCGGAAGTAGCAACACTTGAGGGAGGAAAAGTTCTGTTTTGGACAGGTTGAGTTTAAGGAAGTGAGCAGCCATCCAGTTGAAAATCGCGGAGAGGCAGTCAGAGACATGAGTCAAGATGGACGGAGAGAAATCAGGAGAGGACAGGTAGATTTGTGTGTCATCTGCATAAAAATGGTAATGGAAGCCAAAGGAGCTGATGAGTTTACCAAAGGAAGGCAGTATAGATGGAGAACAGTAGGGGACCAAGGACAGAACCTTGTGGATGCCAACAGAGTGGGATTGGGGAAATGAGGCAGAGCCAGAGAAAGAAACACAGAAAAAGTGCTGGAAGAGGTAGGAGGATCACCAGGAGAGTGCAGCGCCTGCACCCCGACGGGTACCTCCGTCAATCGCTGCTTCCTAGTACTGGCGAGTACCATAAGCACTGCACTGGAACACCATAACCACCGTAAACCCCACGAACCACCGCAGCTTGGTTTGGGTCTCGCCGTCCTCAATCCACCCTGGACCCAAGATCAGGATCCAGCTTCCAGTGGGTAGGCCTCTCTCTTAGTCCCGAGAGCGTAGCAGGAACAGCTCTTACAAAAGCTTCGTGATTATACTCAGGGGAGTATAGTGATTATAGCAATCCCCAGAGTAGTTCTCCAATCCCCCAAACATGAGCCAAGACTTCATGAAGGTGCAAGATGATCTGAGCTTTAATGGTTCAGGTTGGCTTTTATACAATTCTTCAGGCCAGGCACAGGAACACAAAGTACACAAACCAATCAGAACAAACATACAGTCTGTGACACGCCCAGGTACAGCACACAATCCCTCCCCTCTGCTTGAGAGATAATTGAGTAAAGTCCTGTAAGTAACTCAATTATCTCCAAGCAGAAAAACCACATTTTCACAAAGTTCAGAAAGTACCCAAAACATAACATACCCACATAGCCCTGTTTGGGGTGAACAACATATCCAAAAATCACCCAGATCAGAGCAGGGGTTCAAAAGTTTCATGGAAGTCTCTTTTTGACCGGCCGCAAGCATGGTTTCATGCCCAAAACAGTTCCAGAGAATCAGGGCTTGCGGCCGGTCTAGTTTGGTAGTTTGCAAACGAACAAACTACCGAATGGAGTCAATAGTCTTACCCTGGAGCTTGTTCCCTTCATCCAGACGAATGATCTCACTGAACAGTGCCCTTCTAAGTTGAATAGAAACAAACGCAGGCGATGATGGAAGTCCAGCGGTGTTAGGGAGTTTCTGTATCCGATTTCAGTTCCATGATATTCATGCCCAAACACCACTGCCTGCGTTCATGCGAACAAGATGGCCGCCACCTTGTGGTTGTTCATAGGAATTGCAACCACCCAGACGAACAATTAGAACACTGCGGTGAGAAATGTTCCAAGTTGTTAATAGGTGTTAACAAGCTCCAGGGTGGTCTCTGTTTGTGCGCTTGTTCGGTAAACAAACCATATAGTCACAATTACACGAACAGAGCCTGTTTGGAGTATATTAGCCAGTTCTATTGCAGGGGCCATAGTCACAGGGTAGGAGGCCCATCCAAAAACTTGTGGCAAACTCACAGAAAAAGGAGAGTTTGTCACATGCAGTATCTCATAGACCGAGATTAGTCCCTTTATTACTCCCACTTTTTTCCTCTAACCACCATATGTGTCTATTTCTCAATCTCCCTACATTTTGTGGGTTTTCTCCACTTGTCTATGGCCATCTTCTTCTTGTCTTGACATGTGGAGGCATCTTGAGCAATGGGAGGGAAGACTCTTTGAGGATCTAGTGCTGCTGTGTTTATGTTTATAATGTGTCCAGTTTGCCTGACCCTGGAAACAGGCTTGTCACTTTTGAGTTTTGAGTTTCTTATAAAGATAAAATAAGGATTATCACCTAAACAATGATATGACAGGCAGAACACAATCTCTATAATGACAATATCTAAATGTTCCTTCTTAAATGTTGATATGAGAATTAGGAGATAAACTGTAAGCCATATTAGCAACCTGCAAATACGGTCATGTACAACACAAATCTAGACTTACACTTAGTTAACTCACTCACGTGGGGTACAAGAGATGTATACTGTTCTTGTTTATAAACCTGCAACCTAAACCATAAAAATGTGCAATGTACACTAATGCCCAATATTGTCTTGAAATGTTGACATCTCGGCTGGTACATGCTGTTGTGGCATTGCCTGCTACTATGTATTTTATGAGCACAATAAAATAAAGAATTTAAAAAAAATACGGTCATGTGAGGGCAGAACAGTGTAGTTCGAAACTGCACTCGAAGAGTCTATAACAAATACTTGACCAAAAACAATGTAAAATGTCCAATAGCAGTGCAACACGGGAATTTGACATAGGACTCCAAAAGGAAACAAAGATATACAAAGCTTAAAATAAGTGAGTGATGTTTACTGTACATTTACCAGAGCAGGTAAGAACAAGTCCAGAATGCAGGGAAGAGAGAAACCAGGCCTTACAGATCGCATGGTCCGTTAACCAAAAGCTGAGTCGAGTACCAGGAAATCTGTCCAAGAATAAGCAGAGACACAATAGGGAGATCCAAGAACATAGATTAGCAGAACCCAGGGTATGAGCAGTTGGAGTAATCAGGTAATTTGAGATGAGGTTCACAAGTGTTATACACTTGTAAACAGACTGGGGAAGACTCCATAATTGATCAACAGTTTACAACAGCACTGGCTTTAAATAGATAGGTAATAGAAACAAGCTGCGGTAATTAACCCTTTGCTAAAATAGAGGTTCCTGGCAATAATGAAAGTATGTAAACCACAATAGTTAACCCTTGCTATGTAGACATTCTAACTCTATCCTTATCTATATAAGGCACACCTTTTAGCAAAATGCGGCAAACCTAGAAGCAGAATCCATAACCACATCTGGTTCTTTCACCTTCTCTAAAATAGAACTGTCACACATCTTTGCATTTTTGACTACCGCCACTTACATAGTTACATAACTGAAAAGAGACTTGCGTCCGTCAAGTTTAGCCTTCCTCACATTTATTTTTTTGCTGTTGATCCAAATACATACATAGTGACACTAGTGGAGAAGAGGGAAAGGTAGATTTGCTAACCTGAACCTCTCTCTCATGTTGTATACCTTCTTGCTTGCCTGTCCAAACCTAGGGTTTCTGGATGATTCTTGAGACTGTGATAAGTTGCATAGATGATCTTGCACATGTGCATAGGATGCCATAGGCACTTTGCACGAGGAGATGCCTGTCTCCATCAGCTGTTGCTCATGGTGTGGTACATAAGTGTGTATGTTTGTCTCTAAACATGATTTGTGATTACAGTTTATTTTCTAAAAGAAGCACAAACTGAGATGAGCCACCGGTTTAAGGACTGGGAGAATCTCAAACTCAATGTTCTGAGGGTGGGGTCATGGGAGACGTCAATGGCAAGAGTGAATTAAGTTTTGTTTTAGGCTTGTGTTTTAGGTGCATCTACAACTTAAAGTGTTTATATACTATATTTGGTTAAAATGTACCCTCTTCTTATTTTCTAGGCTCTCCATCAGGCCGTCCAACAAAATCTCCATTTTTTCCACCACCGTTCATTCCAGATCCCATTATACCTCCTTTCAAACCTTGGCCTCTTCCAAAACCTCGTCCTGATCACCCTCCTTACAAACCAGAGCCATTTAAACCTGACCTTCCTCCAATTTTTGTTCCACCTCCTGAATTTCCTGAGGAACCCTTTCCTGAGGAACCCTTCCCTGACAACAGATATAACAATTGGAGATAAAGATTTTTTAAATGGTTTCTGCATGATCAAAAATCAGAAGATAAGACATAGTAAAAAGCAATATTATGAAATAACTATTTGGATTTGAGTTCTTTTTTATAGGCATAATTTTACACATTGTTTCAAAAATAGTCAAGACTTTGGGCCTAACAGAATGTTCCCTCCATGGAATCTTAGCATAGTGCTGATTTCAAGAGAAATCAGAACATTTATAAAGTGGCAAGGTTGCACTCTCCCAGGAGTCTCAACTATCAGTTAGGCAGCTGAGACAAAGATCTCCCTGATTGATTTGTGTCCCAGTACTAATCAAAGTCCTATATTACTCATAGAGGCCATATAATACTCAATCGTCCTTTATAAGCATTTGATTGCCTGGGACATCATCAGTAGTGATAATTTGTGAGCATGCAGATTCAAGCTGTGGCGAGCCACTGTATCTCTGCTTGATTAGTGGTAAGTTATCTCTTTATTTACAGGTATTGGGAAAGGGCAAAAACAACGTAAATCACTATATGCTAAAATATATATATATATATATATATATATACATAATAAAAAACATATAAAATACCCCTTTAAAGAACAAAGTGTACCCTCAAACACTTAAAGGACCACTATAGTGCCAGGAAAACATACTCGTTTTCCTGGCACTATAATGCCCTGAGGGTGCCCCCACCCTCAGGGTCCCCCTCCCACCCGGCTCTGGAAGGGGGAAAGGGGTAAAAACGTACCTTTTTCCAGCGCTGGGCGGGGAGCTCTCCTCCTCCGATCCTCCTCCTCTCCGCCCATTCGGCTGAATGCGCACGCGCGGCAAGAGCTGCGCGCGCATTCAGCCAGTCGCATAGGAAAGCATTCATAATGCTTTCCTATGGACGCTGGCGTGCTCTCACTGTGAAAATCACAGTGAGAAGCACGCAAGCGCCTCTAGCGGCTGCCAATGAGACAGCCACTAGAGGATTTGGGGGAAGGCTTAACCCATTCATAAACATAGCAGTTTCTCTGAAACTGCTATGTTTATAAAAGAATGGGTTAACCCTAGAAGGACCAGGCACCCAGACCACTTCATTAAGCTGAAGTGGTCTGGGTGCCTAGAGTGGTCCTTTAAACACCAATAGTTAAAACAGAAAAAAATAAATAAAGGAAAATAAAATTCATAAAGTAACACCTCAGTGAAAATCATACAAAAATACAACCTGGGTGGGATGTATAGGAAGTTCAAATATTCTATGTATCGATGATGTTCTAGAAAAAGGAAAAAAATATAGTGAAATACAATAGATACAAAAAATAGGGGAGGGGTTAGTAGAGAACTCACTAGATGGCTGAAATAGTAGGCATGTCTCCCTTAAAAAGGGTTAGAATAGCTGGCGATGTGGGATGGGGATGTTATTCCCGAATATTCTTCTTGACCACTCAATCAGATAAAAATGTAGACTATAGTGCAGGTTGTATATATATAAAAATCCACTCAGCTTCTTTTAAATTAAGATCTAGCTCTATATTACCTCATCTCCAATTCCTCTCCACTCTATCAATCCCTATAGACAAGAAAGTGTCCCATGTGAAAAATGGGCAACCTACACAGTGTTTGAACGCAAACTCGTATTTTGTTGTGTCCCTACTTGAATTTGATTTAGCCTTTCTTAAAAGGTCCCTTCGTTTAGTTTGTATTAAAGACAGTTCGACTTTTTGTATCTCCTAAATGCCATATCCTTTATCACTATATCTTTTTAAAATAATACTGGATTGGGTTTTAAAAACATTCAAATCCGAGCAATTGCGCCTTAGGCGTGTTAGTTGTCCCTTGGGGATATTCCCTAACCAGGCGGGTTGATGGGCAATGGTTCTGTCTATTGCTGCATTGCAGTCTGTTTCTTTAAAAAAGGTTTTCATTTCAAATCATCACCCTCCTCATAGATTGTGAGATCCAGAAAATTACTCTTTTCAAAATGACAAACTGAGGTGAATTGGAAATTATATTCATTATTATTGATATATTTTATAAATTTGTTCAGGCTGTCTTGGTCACCCTCCCAAAAAATCAACACATCATCAATGTAGCGCCGCCATAGGACAAGAGTGCTTCCCAATGGGACACATAAAGGTTGACGAAGCTTGGAGCAAATCTCATCCCCATGGCGAAGCCACAAAGCTGCAAAAGTGTCTCTGGTCAAACCAAAAAACATTTTTTGTAAGAACAAATTGAATACATTCAAGTAATAGATCAACTTGATTGATATGGAAATTATGGCTTTGTATCAAAATATCTCGGATTGCTGATAAACCCTTCATATAGGGAATATTGGTGTATAATGACACCACATCTACTGAAGCTAGAATGTACGTTGATTTCCATTTGGGGAAGGGGCAAAGGAGACTCCGTAACACTCCAGCATTATAAATAAATATATTTATATGTATCAAATCTATGTATTTATTACTGCTGGAATGTAATTTGAATTCACTAAACCAGAAATTGAGAAAAATTGGAACTATTAGATCAAAATTGTCAAGTTGAAAAAATTATAAAATTATCCAACTATAACTCTTTATAACTCTGCTATTTTAGCCACACTTTAGCAAGTAATGCCTATTGACAGCATCCCATGTAGTTTAGTGTTGATTGGTGAGCTTGCCACACATTTCATGGAATTACCAGTGATGTACAAAGTTCAAACCTGTTCTATTTAATTTTGATTGGTAATGTTTTCAAGTGACTTTTTAGTAAACCATGCATGTTTTTAATAACATAAATTAAAAATGCCATAAAATTAGTATATCAGTGTGACGGACCGCCTGGCGCCCCTATCAGGTGCCTCCGTTAATCGTTGCTCCTTTGGTAAATTTGTTAGAAAACAATGCTGTACCAAAGTCATCCCTGATCTCTCACGTAGGGTCAAGTTATCATATCCTGGTTCCCAAGAATTGAAAGGCCTGTGCTGTTGAAAGCAACGGTCTCTTGATTCATTATAGTAGTATATGTAACAAGTGTCAGTTAGGTGGAAGAGGGGTGCATAATTCTTACAATTTTGACCTAGTCCTCCACTATGAACCATGGCCAAGTGTATGGAGGTACATTGACTTAAGTATTTCATAAAGTGTGTAAATCACATAAATCACGTATGCACATTTTTTTCATGAAAGATTTGATGGTAGGGGAACTGACAAAAATTTCTATGGAAAACAATTTCTATGGATTGATGAGATTTGTTTTACCTAACACCTTTCGGAGGTACACAAAAGCACTATTTCACTTTCAGCACCACAGAAGGGAGCAGAGCATCTCTGCACATCTCTGAGCACATCGAGGGCTCCAAGCACTCCACCAGACACCATAAGCACTGTAGACTCCACGAACTGCCGCAGCTTGGTTGGGGTCTCAATGTCCTCCACCCACCCTTGACCCAAGACCAGGATCCAGGTTCTAGCGGGTAGACCTCTCCTCCTCCAGAGAGCATAGCAGGAACAGCTATTAGAAGAGCTAGTGATTATACTCAGGGGAGTATTGTGATATAGCAATCCCCAGAGTGAATGTAGTTCTCCCATCCCCCAAACATGAGCCAAGACTTCATGAAGTGGTAAAGCATTCTCTTTAATGGAAGCCACAGCTGGCCTTTTATGCAAGTCCCCAAGCAAGGTGTACGTCCACATGGACCTTGTTGGGGACAGGGACACAAAGCTTACAAACCAATCAGAACAGTAATTAAATTATGACACGCCCATAACAAATATACTATCCCTCCCCTCTCCCTGTGAGATAATTGAGTCAGATATTGTATTAACCCAAATAGTGTTTGCAACTAAATGTTAAATGATATATTTATGACTGCTAATAATGGCAGAAATAAAAAAGTAAGACAACAAAATAATAAAAGTAAAAAGAAGAACGGTGTATTTAAAAAAATAAAAAATATATATATATATATATATATAGAGTTTTTTGGGGGGCATCACTGAAAGGTTCTACCAGTAAGAAATGTTACCTTTTCAGTGCTGTAGGGATGTGCAGAGATGCTCTGCTCCCTTCTGTGGTGCTGAAAGTGAAATAGGGCTTTTGTGTACCTCCGACAGGTGTTAGGTAAAACAAATCTCACCAATCCATAGAAATTGTTTTCCATAGAAATTTTTGTCAGTTCCCCTACCATCAAAGCTTTCATGAAAAAAATGTGCATACGTGATTTATGTGATTTACACACTTTATGAAATACTTAAGTCAATGTACCTCCATACACTTGGCCATGGTCCATAGTGGAGGACTAGGTCAAAATTGTAAGAATTATGCACCCCTCTTCCACCTAACTGACACTTGTTACATATACTACTATAATGAAGCAAGAGACCGTTGCTTTCAACAGCACAGGCCTTTCAGTTCTTGGGAACCAGGATATGATAACTTGACCCTACGTGAGAGATCAGGGATGACTTTAGTACAGCATTGTTTTCTAACAAATTTACCAAAGTTTTACTTGTGCCTTCATTGAAATGTATGGGAACCAACTTAATGAACCATTGAAGCTACTACATGAATGGCGAATTTACCAATTAAAATTTATCTAGGAGTTGACTGTCATAATTTGTTATAGAGTTGAACCAAATTAGCTGTGGCCCACACAAAACCCTGTATTTAATGAAAACAGCAATTGCTACAAAACCGGTTTAAAGTTTCCACTGTTATTTTTGAGAGTAAAAACACTGGCATGATTTAGAAGGTTTATTAATGAAAGTTATTGAAGAACAGTCATCTGCCTCCTTATAATTCATCCCTACTGCAGTGCATCGATTGTCTACATCCCTTTACTGCGGTAGGTTGCAACATCATGCTTGCATACTTGCAAGGATTGTCTTTGTTACAATCTTTTTGCCAGTAAATAACATTCCTCCGATTTAGATTTGCACTGGCACAGGCATCATACCACCATCCTCCACCTGCAATGCCCTGGCTCTCTAGCAAAGCACAGTTCAGGAAATAGTTATCATTATCACGGTCTCGAGTGGTGAATCTCTGGTTATCATGTAGATATGCATCTGTGTCATGGGTCAAAGCATCGCAGGCAGAGCCATAATACAAGCCAAGACGAAGTCTATAATGTGACTCCTCAGGCTCGATCAAAGCTGGATCATACATGCCCCACTTTATCTCTCCCTCCATTGTCACCAGTTTAATTCCAAGTTTGTGATGACCAGGAGGCTGAGTTAGCTGATGCATGTATTCATTGCCTAGCCAGTGGTCATCAAGAATATGGCCAAAGCCTAATTTGTAATGCTTCCATGTACGGTCAAAGTCCAAGCTGCTGTTAGCTGTAATGTGCTGGATAACTGTCCATCCTCCGTCTTGCATAATGCAAAAAACAGCAATGGGATCATTCGCAGGCTGTATAATATATAAGCCATCCGTTGCACTACCTTTCGACTTATCCAAAATTTCAGCGCAGTTTCTGGAAAAGACTAATGGAAGAATATTATCTATATTATCTCAGATATAGCAGTAGTGTAACATTTTCATTTTACAATATGTCAAATCAATGACTTTACCAGCAGAAAAAAAATCCTTTTTAAGCCTGAGATGTCTAAAATGTAAAAGATCATATGAAGTCTGACCAGCTTTTATATATTTATTGAAATTAAAATGTTAGTCTTTTCTTTAGTTTTTTGGGGATGAAATCAACTTAAATATCAAAGGGTTATTATCCATCCTATTGTAGTGGTTATGGTGTTATGAGGTTATGGTAACTGTTTTAAAGTTGTTAGATTTGAGGCAGTCAAGGTCTGCCCAATATGCTTGGGATGGGATAATGAGGAACATTCCTTTCTTCAGTATTTGCCCAATAGATTTGTACAGATAAGCCTTATGTGGCTACACAGATTAGTGTTAACTCATGCAGAGCAAGCTAGCCTGGGGTGTTGTGCTGTTCTGCAGTAAGCATTTACAGTGATTCCTGACGTACAGTTTGCACAATGTCAAATATCAAATATATAAATACACAGGGAATTATCTTGGTGCCATGTATCCTTCTGTGTTTTTCTTAAATTGTTTGAAAACAATTTTACAATAATGATATGCAACCATAGCTTCTTGCGTTGACTGCATTGTTCAATTGAGAAGGTTAGCGCAGGGTATATCATCAGCATTAGACAGGGTAATTTGCCAAAATAAGAGTTGTTGGGAAATCAGTATACAGTGACATTGTCTCAGGTATAAACTGGTGTGTGTGTCCCATGTGGAATAATAATTCATAAAATGAGGGTTTTATTTACCATTTTCCATCACTGAGGCTTATTTAGCACTGCTCACCTCTTCACCTTCCGTCACGTCATCGAGGAGACAAGGTCTTTTCTGTGATGGTCCAATCCAATGGTCATAGAGAAGCACTGGGGACCTGATGTGCATGAACGTCAAGTGCTGCATCTTCTTTCATGCTTTCCTATAGGAAAGCATTGTATTCAGTGCTTTCTTATGGACTTTCATGTCATGTGCAATATCGTAGAAGATCCTCTATTGGCTGTCAGTATGACAGCCACTACAGGTGTATTTAACCCTGCAATGTGAACAGGACAGGGCCACTGCACCCAGCCCAGTTCATTAAGATGAAGTAGCTTGGATGACTTAGTGTCCCTTTAACATTTTAACTTTTGTTCCAGGCTGGCTGATAACTGCCAGCGGTATAACTCCAGCACCTCCAACAGAATCATTAGTCAGCCTAAAACAAGAGCAATCTGCATTTTCTCTTTATGTTCAATGTTTCAAACTGAAAAGCTGCACATGCAGGTACCAAACAACATGACCACTTCAAATCAGTGAACCTTTTAAAACTAAGAAACTAGATGTCTTAGAATGGCCCAGTCAAAGCCCAGACCTGCATCCTAGTTAAAGGATCACTATAGTGTCAGGAAAACAAACCCGTTTTCCTGACACTATAGTGCCCTAAGGGTGCCCCCACCTGGAGGGCCCCCCCTCCCGCTGGGCTGAAGGGGATAAAACCCCTTTAGCATCTTAGCTTAATCCAGCGCCAGGCTCCCTCTGTGCTGGTGACCTCTCCTCGCCAACGTCAGCTCCCGAGTGGAGCGGAAGGCGCATGCACGGCAAGTGCTGCACGCGCATTCAAACAGTTTCCTATGGACGTTCTGCACTCTGGATGAAAATTTTGCATACAGCGTCGCAGATGCGCCTCTAGCAGCTGTCAGGAAGACAGCCACTAGAGGTTGGAATAACCCTGCTATGTAAACATAGCAGTTTCTCTGAAACTGCTATGTTTACATCTGAAGGGTTAAAACCTGAGGGACCTGGCACCCAGACCACTTCATTGAGCTGAAGTGGTCTGGGTGACTATAGTGTCGTCTTTAAGAATTTGCAAAAATACTTATTTCCTGTTCATACACTAACCTATTCAACCTGATGGAGTGTAAATGGTCTGTTTTCAACATGCTTTGGTATCACAATAAACATATTTTGTACCTAATTCTAGAATGCAACAAACATATTGGAAACATTAAAGAGGGTTGTATATTTATGTCAAGGGCTGTATATGTTAATTGTGTTCTTGCACTAATTCAGAATCATTTGGTTTCCTGAAATGTGCTAACTTGACATCATTCACCTTGATATGGCAATAACATGAATATATGGTTCTTCTTTACATTAACAACAGGTATAATTTTCACACTTTTTAAAACCTTTTTTTTATTTTATTTTAAGATTGCTATAATACATAGCATAATTTTTGTGCAAAGCACAATCTACTCTCTCACTTCTTTGTTTTTGTTGCGATGCATAAACTTAGCTGTCCCCAAGTTAAATGGGTAATCTAGACGTGGACCCCGTGCTCACTGTGTCTAGAGGGGTATCAGCTACACCTCACGGTCGAGGCCCAAAGAAGACCGAAACGATCGCCTGGGGTTGCTGTATCTCTCACACAGAGAGTACTTGTGATATTTTGGTTCTGGACTGCCCCCTTACTGGTGGGATCAGTCTGATATGCTTCAGAATATGTTCTCTCTGTAGTAGTGCAAGTGAGCAAATACTATATTGAGACCTGAGCGGGGATTTACTGAAGGGAAAGATACTGATTTTATAAGCTCTCTTTTTTTCTAAGAGTATTCATTCTTTGTTTCTGTTACTTTCTCACTGTAGCTGTTGGCTTCTTAAATCTATCTATAAACACTCTCAAAGTCCACACAAACTCCCTAAAATTAGCAGGGCTGTCCAGCTGTGGTTCTCCAACTCCTGCTGAATTATAATGATTCATGGAAATTTGCCTGGTTTCCTCTTAAGGCAACTATCTGCTTCCACAGTTTCCATAAGGAGGGAGAGAGCCATTTAGCTTTGATCATTATATGCTCGTCTCCTCCACAAACTTGTGATTCTCATTCCTCTTTCAGAATGGGGTTGTCTCTTTTAGATCAGCTCTGTCCTCCTTATCTCCTTTCATTCTAGGATGGGGCTGTCCTTTTCCTTTTTTAGTTCTAAGAGAATGGGTTAGATGTCAAAACCAAAAATTTGCACTAGTTTTTAACAGAACAGAAGTTTTAGCATTTCTAGAAGGTTTCAAATGGACAACCTTGTCCGGGTATAGTAAACAATAATATGAGAGGCTCAGGAGACCCTGAGAAACCAATACAATGGAGCTGACCTGTGTCCCCTCTGTTAATAATTTTGCTGATGTCCCCATCTGAAAGGAGGTAGTTGTTGGTAATAATATCAGAACCTTGTGATGCTGTTCCTAATACACAGCCAAGCAGAAACACCAGGAGCACATCCATATCTAGAATCCACTTCATTGCAATATCTAATGGGGAAATTTAAATATAGTATGTTACTCTTACAGAAGATTTATATTCTTGATAGTTCATTAGGAACAATATTTTGTAATAAAACATGTTATTATTGATAATTTGTCAATTTTTTTCTCTCACTACAGACATAATTTAAAAGAAATCAAGCATCCATTTTGTCTTAAATAAAACTAGCTTTTAGGCAAAAAAAAGAGAACTATTGAGGTCAGAGATCTCCCTAAAAACAGGAGGAATCTGTACCCCACTGGAATTACCTCTAAATATAAATCATTTTAGGTTATAATCTTCATTATGAAAAATAACTGACACACAAATCTATGTTGAGCTGACAGGCTCTAATTGATATTATACTGATCTGCCTGAACATGATGGGATTTATTCCCGGTGACTCATTTAAAAAAAATTTTTTTTTAGGGGGACGGGGCCGGACCGCCATGCTGACCGGTCGCATGCAGGAGAGGCTCTGGAGAAATCGGGCCTCTTAGGCAAATACTGCAACTCTGACACCCGCATGAAACCCAAAGCAAGAACCCGCGGCTGCGGACAAAGCAGCAGAACCCGAGATCGGGAGTTTTGGATCCCCAGAGGGAGGTACGAAACTTCGGGGACTGCGGCCTACTCGGGAGGGAGTGGGGTGGATGGCCGCTGCCCTGTCTCCCTACCCGGACACCACAAGCCGACCTCATGTAATGCCTGCCGTTCTCGTTCCCCCCCCCCCTCTTGGGATCGGGGGGGATATCGCGGTCCCCATATCGGAGGGCTTGGGAAGTGTGGAGACTGCGAGGCAGGATGCTCCCGGGGGCCAACCTGCTAAGATGGTAACGGCGCGGGGCACAACACCAGCAGCTCCCGCCCTATGAAGCCCCAGGCGAGAGAAACCGCACCACTCACCCAAACATGCAACTGCAAGATCAGCCCAGCGGTGAGTCCTCTACTAGTCTTCGCCGGGTGAACACAGCAAGCCCCCGGCTTACACAGGCACCAAACCCGCCCAAAGAAACAGCATGCCTCCCAACCGAGACAAGGGAAACTCTGCTGCAGCCATGACTAAACAGCCACCTCAGACCTGCGATAGCACCTTGAGATGGTGGATTTTACGTCTCCAGAGACTACTTTATGGCACAATATGTCGCTACAGAGCCCGCCTGGCCCCACACAGACGCCTGCAGGATCACAGCAGTTGGCTGGTGACAGCGCAAACAGCGACCTTCGCAGGGCCACCAAAGGGTGGTCTGGAGGGGCTAGCTTGAGTCCCGACAAGCCAGGACCGCTTTCCCTATACAGGACTCACTTGCCATGTGGCATTGCAGACGACACCTGACCAGGCGACATAGCAGAAGAACACTACACTGAAATGTACTCTGCCTGTCTTGCTAGCACACTAGGCAACTTAACATGCAATCTTTCACTCTGCCTAAAACACTCTGCCTAAAACACTCTGCCCGCGACTCCACCACTCAGAGACCTTTCTCCACTATCACTACACAATCACCTTGCTCACTGTAGGCGCACTCATGATTAGCAATCTATACCTGAGCTTACATAGCCTGAATACCCACCACTCACATAACGACCATATAACCATGAATGCATCGACTAGCTACTACAAAAGTTCCACTCTATTATCACAAGCCTGTTACCTTTCACAAAAATTAAATGTGCTGATAACTCTGCCATGATATTGTATGCCACTGAATAGCTCGTACTCGCTTTCGTGGCGCTACAAGCTTGTCTGTAATATTGTGCACAAGGAAAAATAAAGAATTTAAAAAAAAAAAATGTTAATACTTTATTTTTGTGTGAAAGTCTTGTCACATCAACAGCCTACAATATTTGTTGCACTTTGAATATGTGAGATGGGTATTGACATTATTCATAGCTTATCTCTGTTTCTCCATTGTCAGCTGACATTGCAATGTACTATGTATAACAAGGACATTTCACTTTTTTTATTTTTTCATGTAACTTGAGTATAAAACTTGAGTATGCATCAAACAACAAACCACCTAAGCTAATGAGGTTTCAGTTATGTAATTAACGTAACATTTTCGGTTGGGGGTTGTGATGCGGTCCTGGTCCAGCCAGGAGTCACTATATTGTCATTGTGTAGGAATTTGGGACCCAACTCCCTTTCCAATGTTATAAGAAGAAGAAGAAAAGACAAAGCAAATTAAGAAGATGAAGGGGGGGGAGAAGGGGAATAGAAGAGTAGAAGGGTAGAAGGAGGGGGGGGATGCGTCAGTTCCATGTTGCGCTGGGGCGTCCGATGTCCCACCTTCTGTGCCTGGCTGTTGAGGAGTCCACTTTCTACTTAAGTCTCTGTCCTAAGGGGGAGGGAGGGAGAGGTTAAGTTGTGTTATGGAAATTTTTTCAAATCTAGACATGGAATCTCTCACCCTGGCTGTCAAGTTATCCACTAGATATACTTCTTTCAAACTGGAGATTACCTTCTGTATGGGAGGCATGTCCATCTTTAGCCACGACTGCGCAAGGGTTCTTCGTGCTGCTAATGTTACTTTGTGTACCAATTTTTGTTCCCTGTTTGTCCAGTCGTCTAGAGATCTATTTAACAGATATGTCCAAGGATTTAGCTCGGGTGCCCTGTGGAAGATCTTTTTAAGTAAATCAGAAACTTGCTACCAGTAGATTTGTACCCGTGGGCAGTCCCACCACATGTGGAGCTATGTGCCTCTGTGACCACATCACCTCCAGCAATCGTCTGATGGTGTTTGTTGCATGTGGAAGAGTTTGACCGGGGTGGTGTACTATCTAAACATACTTTTATAGGATTGCTCCTGGAGAGATACACATATGGACAATGCGTTATTCGCCTCCCATATTTCTCTCCACTCAACTCCCTGCAGGACTCCCTCTCCTAACTCCCTCTCCCAGGTGTCCGTATATGTTAGTGTACCCCATTCCTCTGTTTCTGAGCAAATGTGTGCGTACATTGTAGTGATGAGCCCTGATTGTGTGGTTTTGTTTAAACACATTTTCTCATAAAACGTCAATGGGGATTTCCCTGCCCTTTGTATGTGTGGGTGTTGTACACAGTCCTTAAGTTGTAGGTACCTAAAAAAGTCGTCTGTTTCAATTGTTCGAATGTGACTATGCCGTCGCTCCTAAACATGTGGCAAACTCTCTGTAAACCTGCTTTTTCCAGGTTTGTGAATTCTCTAGTCGCCATTCCCGGGGGGAAGGCCCTGTTTCTTAATAGTGGGGTAAGTGGGGATGGGGAAGATACTAATTTGTATTTGGATGCTGACACGTCACATAATCTCAGGGAGTTTAAAACAGCTGGACAGGTGGTTCTCAATATTGGTCTGTCTTCCTTGGGCACCCACATATGGTATTGCAGTAAATCTGGGCCAGTTAGGAGGGACTCCAAGTCCACCCATCTCCTTACCTCCAATGGTGCGTGCCACATAGCCACCTGAAATAATTGCGCAGCTAGATAATAAAAATATAGGTGTGGGAGCCCCAGACCTCCCCTCTGTTGTCTTGTCTTGTTGTTTGTCTATATAAAATGTTTCGGGATATTCTGTGGCGTCGATTTTGCCATATGAAGTCCCCGACAGCCTTTTGCAGTGGGGCTAGATCAGATTTTAGAAGTTTAATGAGTAGTGCCTTAAAGAGAAACAGGATGCGAGGTAGCACATTCATCTTGACTGTATGAATACGCCCGATCCAAGAGATAGGTTTATCTAGCCACTTATCCATGTCTTGTATTAGGGTTCACATAAGTGGGGCATAGTTTAGGTGATAAAGTTTGGCCGGGTCGTTCGGAAGTTGTATCCCTAAATACTTTTTGTGGTCTTTAGCTATGGGAATATTATAGTTTGCCCGCAATGCCGCCATGTCCTCCGCAGACAGGCCTAAGAGGAGGGCACTTGATTTTTCTAGGTTAGCACTATAGCCTGAGAATACTCCAAATTGTGCCAGGACTTCTTGCAGAGCATCCATGGAATCTTTTGGTTCTGTAATCATCAGCAGGACGTCATCTGCATAGGCGTAGACGAGAAACTCTTGTCCTACCACTGTTATTCCATGTATATGTGGGTGTTTGCGTAAAGCTTGTAGGAGCGGCTCCAAGGTCATCACAAACAAAAGCGGGGCGAGGGAGCATCCCTGTCGTGTTCCATTACCCAATTTAAAGGGTTTGGTCCCAGCTCCGGTGATTTTTACTTGTGCATATACTTGGTTGTACGTAGCCTTAATCGTGGCCACGTATTTTTCTGGGAATCCCAGAAATTCTAGGAGTTGAAAGAGATAGGGCCATTCGACCCTATTGAAGGCTTTTCTGCGTCGATTGCGACTATTACGGTAGGTGTGTCTGTGGTCTTCTGACGCCAAATGAGGTCTATATTCCTTCTGGTGTTTTCGAAAAGCTGTCGATCTGGTATAAAGCCCACCTGTTCCGGATGTATCAATGTTTTCAAATGAGGATTAAGGCGATCTGCCAGTACCTTTGCTAAAATCTTTATGTCATGATTAATTAACGAGATGGGTCTCTACCCGATTTCTGGAGAAGGATGATGTTGGCCAGGGACATACCGCTCTCCGGGTTCCCGCCTTCCATGAAATCGTTGAAAAGGCGGGGTGAGAGTTCTTCTCTATATGTTTTGTAGTATGCCCTGTCTATTTCGTCTCCGGTGATGGCGTCATTCATGAGTGTTGCCGCTGCTGTCGTAAGTTTGGGAAGGTCTAGATTACTTAAAAATGTGTGCGTGTATTTTCCTGCCACAGCCTCTGCGGTAGGATCTCTTGGTGTATGGTTGTAGAGCATCTTGTAGTAGTCGGTGAATACTTGTGCAACATCTGTCGGGGTCTTTTTGATGGTTCCATCTCTGTGTTTGATTGCGGTGATGTCTGTCCTAGCTTGTCGTGGGCGTAGAGTCCTAGCTAGCAGCGTATCCATCTTGTTCGATTTCTCATAAAACATCCTTCTGGACCATGTGATGGCTTTAGCGGTGTTATCTAGGAAAAGTTCTGTGATGGATCGTCTGGTTCCTCCCAGTTGTTCCAGAATTTGCATGGTTGTCGCCGTCTTGTGTTGTTGTTCTTGTTTTCTCAGCAAAACTAACAGTTGAGCCAGTCTCTGCGCCTTTAGTGTCTTCTTTTGTGTGGCCAGTTTTATACATGTGCCTCTGATCACTGCCTTATGTGCCGCCCAAATAATGCTTGGGGACATGTATCATTTGTAGTGAAATATTCTTGTATGTCTTTACGTATTGCCTCCTGTGTGTCTTGGTCTCTCAGTAGGTGAGGGCTGAGTCTCCAGTTCCACGATGAGACTGTACACAAGTTTCCCATGGTGAGGGATATATCCACGTGGTCTGACCACGTTATGGAACCTATCGCCGTGTCCACTACTCTGACCATGCATACGTTGTTTACTAGAAAGTGGTCGATCCTGGAATAGGTCCCGTGCGGAGCTGAATGAAATGTGTAATCTCGCGCGCTGGGATCTTGTGCTCGCCATGCGTCTATCAGTCCACTGTCTTGTATGAATCTGTGTAGCAATTTATCTTGTCTTCCCCTGCCCTGCAACCTCAATTGGCCTGCTCTAGAGCTCCTGTCCGCGGCTGGACATGGTACGGCGTTTAGGTCCCCTCCTACAATAAGCATGCCGTGTGGGAGTGCCTTAATCTTAGTGGACAGGGTGTCCCAGAAAGCTGTATCAGGTGTGTTGGGGGCGTAAATGTTAACCAGTTGTATTGGGTGAGAATGTAGGGTACCAATGAGCCTTATGTATCTCCCTTCTGGGTCTGGATCGATGGTTGTTATGTGAATTGGGCATTTACTGTGTATGAGTATAGCTACTCCATTGCCTTTTCAATGCGATCTAGCTTCGTATGTGGTGGAGTATGTGCGATCCCGTAGTTGGAATGTTCCCAGCCATTTAATTTCCCTAAACATCATTCGTCTCTTTTTGGGGGCGTTCAGCCCTTTAACGTTAATAGATGTCAGTTTTAGGGCCATATCAATAGTCGTGTGGGGTGCTGCTTGTGTGCGTGTAGGGATCCCTATGGTAAGTCCCCAGAGCACCACTCCAGTCGCCCACCGACTCTGACGCATAAAGGGAGTTGATAACGGAGGGGGTAAAGAGGAAAGTAGAATGGAAGGAATAAAGTGAAAGCAAAGAAATAGAAGAATGAGGTCTGGTCTTACCTGCTGCCAGACCGGTGTGGGGTGCAGTTCCCTGTCCCATGCCCCTAATCTTGAGGGGAGGATGAGATGGAGGTTCCTGTACCATGTGACTACCACACCACTTAGATGTTATATGACAATGTTGTGTTAGTTATTTTGTCTAGTGTTTGGTAGATGGATGTTAGGACAGTCCCCGATTAATGTTGCCCCTTGGGGGCTCTTTATCGATGGTCCTGAGTCGCTTATGTCAGGGATAAGACGTGCAGGGGAGTGGTGTATTCCCTCGGCCCATGTATCTCTCACGGTATTGGAGCAGCACAGTGTAAAAGTTGATCTGTCAATCTGTCGATGGTCCTGTCTGCTTTGGTGGGCCGTCAGTGCTACTGTATTACGGGTCCAGTCCTCCCATTGTTCCTCCCCTCGGTCCCTACTTGCAATGGGAGTAGACCCTTTTAATCTATAGGCACACGGGCCTAGAGGCCTAAACCATCTCACTGAGCACTGTACCCTAGTCACTGTCGCAAAGTAATACATTGACCACAGTTGATAGTATCGGGTGTACATGGTGAATATATTCAACACAAATCAACAACAGGTATAAAGGATGATATTGACTTGACATTACTCCTTAAAGAACAAACATGTCAAATGGGTTATCATGAATGCAATTTGCAAGGTCTGGCCCACTCCACCCTTTGCCACCCCTCGTCCCTGCCTATGCCGCTGGACAACAATGTTGCGTCATTCGGAGGAGTATGTTTATACCCGCTACTCAGGTTGCCTGTGCCCTAATTTTATTGTTAATCTAATTAAGAGGTCTGAGTGTGTGCATGAGTGGTGCGCCTGTTAAGTATGTCTTCCATCTGATACTTATGTCATATAGAATGTGCTGCTTTCATCCATGTAGCCCTAGTCTCAGTCTCCAGCATCTAAGTGAGTGGTTGCTGCCTCGGTCGTTTGTGGGAGACTCTTGGTCCGAGGTGTCACAGTAGATGATGTGTCGGTCTTAGAGTAGTCGTCTGTCATCTAGATGTGATTGTCGTCGGGGGTAAGAATGAGCTGTTTTAAAGCTCTGGCGGGTCAGCAGCAAAGTGGTTGGGTCGAACCAGGCTATCTGCAGTTTCTGCATTTACTGCTATCTTGGGCATGTGTAATGTCGTGTACGTATGAAAGCGTTGCGTCTGTACTTAGGCCGGGGTTGAGCTATGTACCTTAGATCTTAGCAATTAACAATTAACCTGGGTATTAGTATACAGAATAACAAGTAAGTAACAGAAAAAAAAAAAGGAAAAAAAAGAGTCTTGATGTTGGCTCAAACGTTTCAACTGGGTTTAGGTTATTACCCTTTTTTAAGCAAGGAAGTGTCTAACATAGTGCCATAGCCATCCACATGGTCATGCCTAGTCCTGGGTCTGGCCGCCCCATAAAGGCTCAGTTCACTTGCTTGCAGTGGATTTTTCCGTGTGGGGCCACTGTCTCAAAGGCCCCCCCCCCCGACCCGAATCCCACCCCCCGACCCTCAGGCAGCCACTGGATCATCTTTGTGAGTTCTCATCCTGTCCAAGATCATTGTGTGAGGTGTCTTACCCCAGCCCCTGACCTCAGCAAAGGTCCCCCCCCCGAACACTCCCCCAAGGTCCATGAGGCCCTCTCTCTCATCGTGATTCCGCGGGCTTTGTAAATACGTGCAGGCCCTATTAACCTTAAAAGGTGGAGCGTTTATATGGTGCCCCCGGTACCTTACTCTCCGGCGGTCCGCCATTCACCAGGGAGAGGTAGCAATTCTCCAATGCCGGTCAGCGTGGATGGGATCTGTGTCGGAGCTTAGAGCCCGAGGTCAGTAGAGAGGGCTATCGCATTATCTCCCGGTTGCAGGATGTAGGTCTTGCCATTTTGAAAGGCTAGAAGTTTGAAGGAGTATCCCCATGCGTTTCTCACATTTGCTGCTCTCAGGGCTTCTGTAATAGGTTTCCATTCCCGCCTTCGTTGTAGAGCAGCTGGCGCCACATCCTGGTATAGTGTGAGGTTCGAGCCTTGGTAACGGATTGAGCCTTCTCTGCCTCTACGGATCAGCGCCTCCTTGGTCTGGAAATGCAGGAACCTAATTATGATGTCCCTTGGGGTGTTTGCGTCCAATCTTCTGGTACGTAGCGCCCTATGGGCCCGTTCTATATGCCAGAGATGGTCTGGTAACTCAGGAAGCAGAGGTTTGAGAATTGCAGTCACTACGTCTATCACTGGGCCTTCCCCTGAGTTCTCTGGGAGACCTCTGAGGCGAAGATTATTGCGGCGTGATCTGTTTGCCATGTCTTCAATGGCCAGCTCTGCTGCCGCCATTCTGGTGGTTAGGTGATTCACTCGGCTGATTGCTGCGTGCAGCTGTTGTGGTCTCCAAGCGGTTTTCCAACCTTGTGTTGCGCTCACCTATGGCCTGGATTTCACTCCTCAGGACATGTGGAGTGTTCTATTTCGCCTGCCAGGTATGTTTTCACCTCTGCCAGGGTGGCCAAGATTTTCGCTGTCTCTGTTGTACCCGGAGCGCCCCTGGTCGCTGCGGTTGATTTGGCTGGTGAGCTGAGCGATCCTGCGGCCTCCAGGCCTGTTCCGTCGCCATCTTGTGGACCTGCAGGTCCAACACGCGGCGATGCGAAAAACTCTGCCCATTTTCTGGCCCTTCTTTTGGGGTTTCTTAGGTTGCCTTTTGTCCATTTTACCGGGCTTTTTTAGGATTTAATTCCACTTTTGTCTGCAATCTGCAGTGTGGACAGAGCGGAGCTCTAAGCAAACGCATTCAGCTCGCTCCGTGTCCAGGCCACTCCCCGACTCATATTTTTTTTGGCAATATTTCTAATAGCATACTATTTAATAATGTGATGTAACTAACATTTACTGGATAATATGGATGGTGATTAGAATATACTCTTCCTTTCCCTTATTGTCTCTCTCATTTATACATTGATACGTGAGGGAGATGTATATACAACTACCCTGGGGTAGTAAATTACTGTATTAGGCATATTATAACACTTTTTTGTCTTTCAGGAGAAAGGGGGAGAGCTCAGGAAGCCAAACGGAGCTGTAGTATTGGGCTGTGCCTTTTTCGGCAAACCACACCCCCTGTTTGAAATGAGCACAGTATTTGGTCGGAGAGCCGTAAGGGGAGGATTATTCCTCCCAGCAGTTGCTCTGCCCCTTAGATGATGCTACACAGTTTCGATTGACGGATCATATAGAGGGGGAGGAACAGAACTCCTATTAAAAATCGGGCATAACACAGATGCAATTCAGCTCTTGATAAAGGCAGTTAGTCACGTCGAAATGCACATCGAGCCCCAGTGCCGATGCACCTTTATGTGATTTGATTTTACTTTGTATGTCTTAGGATGGAGAAAGTTAGTACCGTATATACTCGTGTATAAGTCGATCTCATGTATAAGTCGAGTGCAGTTTTGTGACCAACAATTGTGAAATATGCAATGCCTTGTGGTTAAGTCGAGGGTAAAACTTGGGGCTATGAAATTCTGTGATTTTTATAATTATATACACACACACTCATACAAACACACACACTGCATTATATCCACACACACTCATACAAACACACACTCTGCATTATAACTTACCTTTCCTGCAGCTCCTGTCAGCTCCCTTCTCCTGCATTCCAGTCAGCTCCACTATAAGTCTCGCGGTGTGAATGGCGTGCGGAGCATTGCCACGGTAACCCATGGCAACGCTCTGACCCCACGGCTCTCGCGAGACTTACAGTGGAGGAGAAGGGAGCTGACCGGAACGCAGGAGAAGGGAGCTGACAGGAGATGAAGGAAAGTTAAGTTACAGCTCTCTGCCAGCCCCCAAAAGGACCGCCGGGCTTGTAATGAGCCCGGCGGTCCTTGCCTGTATTATGGCAATGTAAGTTGCCATAATAGAAACACTGACTCGAGTATAAGTCGAGTGGGGGGTTTTTAGCACAAAAAATGTGCTGAAAAACTCGACTTATACTCGAGTATATACAGTACTTAGTTTCTAGTGGTTAGGGACATTATCATACTTTTCCTGGGGCAGAGTTCGGCTAGAATTTGGTATTTAAATAAAGGTGGGATGGCTGCCTCGAAGCAGCCGTTTTGTGGGTTGACAGGCTTGGGTAGGGGAGTGACTTTATCCCTACATATGTGTGGATATAACTGAATAATTACCATCTCCTTATACACCCATCTTCCTTCCCCCTCTTCAGATGTCTAAGTTCCCCTGGTACTGGTGTTGTGTTTTGGCATAACTGCTACTGGCTGGTTAAAAGGGCTGAACAGTGTAACCATCTTTAATTTGAATCTGCCGATCTCGCTCTCCATCTGTGTCCAACATTGATGGGTTGTTTGTGTTGTTGATAAAGGTATAATATTCTAATTGACTGTTTAGATGTATATCACTACTGTAGACCTTTTTCAATCTAAGTACCTAATGTGGATAAGGGGTAACTAATTATTTGATGCCAGAATAGTGGTGGCGGCTACTTATAGGATGATCTAATATTAACCACAATTTAATTTATTAGATCTTTGTATATTTGCGGCCACCTTACAAGTGCATAAGTATAATCGAATGGTGTCCTCTTTCCTCTAACTATATCTTTCCTACTCGAATGGGATACTTTGATGTCCTGTTACATTGTATACTTTTCTGAGATATAGATATAACAGTTATGAACTACATTTCTAGTGGCTTACTTTGAAACATAATTGAAATTTCAATCAAACTCTACATTTAGCCATTTAAGTCTCCATTCCTTTTTAATTGTTATTGTTTATATATTTTTTTTCATCACCTTCACTTTTTTGGTTGCAGAATTTCTGTTATTTGTGTGTCGGTTATTTTTCATAATAAAGATTATTACCTAAAATTATTTGTATTGCGAGGAAATTCCAGTATGGCACAGATTCCTCCTCTTTTTAGGGAGATCTCTGACCTCATTAGTTCTCTTTTTTGCCTACTTGTAATTCCAGGGTTATGCCCTCATTACCGCTGTAACCTACCCTTAGCAACGGAGTAAGTCTTTCTTATGTCTGTGGCTAAGTGGTGTTTCTTCTTTTTTTTAAACTAGCTTTTTCCTACACTTGGACCTTCCTGATTTTATCCTTGAATATTTTACATGAGGATTCACACTTTTAATTCCTTGGTGAGGAAGATACAACTTGTGCTTTGTGGCATTGAGCAAAACCTACTTTTACTCTCCTTATGTGAGTCATATTATTACATTTATCTCAGTCATACGAAGAGTTCTATATTGTTTTACTTTCATCCTATATACTGGTGAATTCCTATTGCCATAATGCTGCACATTGAAGGAGAAGACACCTGAATGCTTGGCATCAAGAGTGACTGATTGGCCTGGAGCATCTTCCTGTAAGGGAACGGGACTATCATCATATCCAGAGACAGGGATTGTACTGCAAAGTGCATACATCTGGAGATGATCATGAGCTTCAGTAAATTGTAGGTGTTACTCCATTTATTGAATTTATCAGTTACCAAAGATACTATATAATATTATATATTGCTTTTATTCTCTTTTCTTTCATACATCCTCAACACTACACGGATTTGAGGATACTCTAAAGGTGCTGCTTCCCTGCATCCAAGGCCGGCCTTAGGCCTATAGGCGCCCTGTGCCGAACATCTTCGCAGCCACCCACACCCCCACCCCCCCGTCATCCATGTATAGTGTGTGTATAGAAGTGTAGTGATTGTATAGGGGATTTATTAAATAAATATTGATTTAAAGATAAATATTCATTACACACACATACACATACAGCGTTACAGGCAGGCAGTCACACACACACAGTTACAGGCAGACAATTACAAACACACACAGGTACAAATGGACAGTCACACACATACAACTAGCCAGTGTAACACACACCGCTACATGCAGACAGCCACACACACACAGGCAGACAGTCACACACACACACAGGCGGACTGCCACACACACAGGCAGACTGTCATACACACACACAGGCAGACTGCCACACACATACACACAAGCGACAGCCACACACACACACACACACACACACACAGGCAGAGAGCCACGCACACACACCTGATTTGCCTGTGTACATCTGTGTGGCTGTCTGCCTGTGTGTCTGTGTGTGGCTGTCTGCCTGTGTGTGTACCTGATTTACCTGAATCCCGCCCTCTAGTGCCTGTTCATACACAGGCAGACAGCCACACACAGATGCACAGAGGCAGACAGCCACACAGACGTACACAGGCAGACAGCCACACACAGGCAGTCACACACACAGAGGCAGACACACACACACACACACACAGGCAGACAGTCACACACACACATTCAGACATGCACACACTGTTACCTCTGTTCATTATGTAGGTGGAAGCAGTGCAGTTCCTGGATTCTGCTTGTTGGAGAATCAGGGACTCCTTCCTGCTTCCCATGCAGCAATTGCCCGGTCCGGCACTTCTAGCCCCGCCCCTGCCATCATTTAGCCCTGCCCCCGCCACAATGCTTTTTTTTGTTTGTTTTAATCCCGGGTGGAGAATAATGAAATCCTCCACCCGGGCAGCCGGCAATGTGTGAGCTGTGTCGGCCACAGGGCACCCCCTGCTCCAAGGTGCCCTGTGCGGCCGCACAGCTCCCTCACCCCTAAGGCCGGCCCTGCCTACATCCCCTTTCATTCTTCCCCAAAGCTTTGAATCAGTGCTTTGAGACAACTTCCTCATGGTCTGCAGTCCTGCACCCGGCGGAGAACTAAAAAAAAAAGGCTCCCCCACACACTGTCAACCCCACACACACATTTACTCCCTTCACCCTGCCAAACTCACATTAAACCCTTTTAATCCTGTCACACTTGTCCCCTCCAACCATGCCACACTCATTCCCAAATCCTGTCACACTCACCCCACCAATCATGCCAAACACATTATTACATTAACGCCTTGTAAAGGATTTCCCTGTATTTACCTGTACCCATTTGGTTATTTCCTCTCCCTGCTAGTTAAGTGACTTTAAAGTATTCGTTTTATTTCTGTGTTCGGGACATTTATTTGTTCTACCGAACGGAGACCACCCTGGGAAGCAATCAGAACTTAGAACACCAAGTAACCACGAAAACTGCAAAGTAATTGAGTGCTTATAGGTGGCTGCCATTCGGCATACGAACACGTGGCGAGAACAAAGGATGGCGGCCATCTTAAATCTCCCAAACGCGGCCAGCGGGACTTACACGTGGATTGCCTGGAACCATTTTTGGCATGGCAATCACACGAACACCCGGTCTCCATAGAAGTCCCGTCTGACCTATTTCTACTCACAGTATCAGACTGGTGTTCGGGAGTTTCAATCAACCGAATGAGGGGAGCATTCACATGTAACCAGATACCGTATAACTGTGGTGGTTTTTGTGTAATTCTGCACAAACGGAGACCGGCTCTTGCTACCAATTTCATGGAACTCTAACTCGGATACAGCCACATGGCGAGCCGGTCGAACCAGTGTTGTTCCAGCATTAAGCTTTGGCTCACGTGTGGATTATTTGGCGATACCAGCGTTATTTTACCCTGTGGATTATTGTGGTTATTTTGCTATTGGGAAAAAGGGAATACTAGACGGTAATACAGATTACTACCATCACACGCCTCTAATCCTGTCAACCCCCAAACTGTGTCACACTAATCTTCCCTCACTCTGCCTCAATCACCCTATCACATTGACCCCCTATCAGACACTTGTACAGTTATTTTCTCTCTTATTTATTTTTTAGATTGTATTATATTGATACTGCGTCTTTAAGAAGACACTGATCAGCGTAACTGGGTGCGTTATTTAAAAATATGTCATCAGTGCCTTGGCGCATTATTGATGTGTTCCTCAATATGTCAGTTCCCATTATAATATTCTCCCTTGTACAGGTACCTCCTAATTAGGCCCCACCGCTTCGTCTTCAGGACAAACTTGAGGAATCTACTCCTACCATATCAGAATTCTTGTTGCTGACCTTGGACTACTCTAGACAACTCATTTTCAACACCCTTGCTAATCCAGATGTATTTCACATTGCCAACCTGGACTGTTGTATGGATTACTCTTTTATGCCTTTACCTTTTATGTCATTGAACTGATACATGGTTACAACTCTGACTGTAATACTGAATTATCTTTACCTACTTTAATTATTTCTGGTTCCCTTAAAGGATCTCGACCTTGGTCTATCTTTCCTGGATTACGTTTTTTTCTTTTTTCCTTGGACAGATACCTGAATTTGAAATCAGCCCTGGATTTGAAATCAGCTGTCTCATTTGGATTAAGGAATCTTCTTGTTCTGACTAATTTCTTCTTATAACTGGGTTACCTACTTGGTTTCTTAATTTTCATTTTACAAGCATCTCCAGATTAGATGTCATTTAGTTCTTCTACTGCAAACATTCTAAAAGTAAGTAGTCTTATTTTTATTTGTTTAACAATAGATAAAATATTATTACACCCCACTTAGGGATCCTATAGTCCTGGCACTATAGGCTCCTGGGGTGCCCCCCTCACTCGGGGTCCCCCTCCCATGGGGCTGAAGGCGTGCAGTGATTTACCTGAATCCAGCACCGATGTCAATCGTGGCTGGGTCAGGCTCCGCCCACTCTCCTCCCCCACCGATGTCAGCCGGCAGGGGAGACCTAATGGGTATGCACGGCAATAGAAAAATATGATGCTGGAGGTCTGTGAGGATGTCCAGCATCAGATAATGGACCAAAATTCAGTTTGGATTCTGGAAGCCCTCTAGTGCCTGTCTAGTAGACAGCCACAGAGGGCAGACTTAGAGCTGCAATGTAAACATTGCAGTTCTCTGGAACTGTAATGTTTAACATTGCAGCACTAGGTGGAAAAGGGACACAGCACCCAGACTACTTCAATTAGCTGAAGTGGTCTGGGTGCCTACAGTGTCCCTTTAATCTTGTTACACTTGCCTCCCTTCGCCCTTTCACACTCACTCTTCCAACCATGTTACATTCATCCCCAACTCTGTGACACTCATCCACCAACCATGCCACACTCACCCTATCACATTAACACCCCTAATTCTGTCACCCTCACCTCCCCTTTACCCAATCTCCCACTTTCAATGATGCCACACTCATCCTCAACTCTATCACACTCACCCTGTTACATTAACCCCATAATCTTGTCACATTTAACCCCAATCTTGTCACACTCAACCCACAAACTTGTTACACGTACCCTTCCTTGTTCTGTACCCCATAATCATGCCATATTATTCCCCCCCCCTCACCCTGTCACAGTTACCCCTTTACTCACCCTATCACTTTCAACCCCTGAAGACAGTCATCACAACACACAGTCATAAAACACAGTTATGCCATAAACACAATGCACAAAGACCATAAGCAGCCCCCCATACACACACACACCAATAATTGTGATGTAGAAGAAGAGGTAACATGTCTGAGTGCATCACAAGTGCCCACAAGTGAGTGAGGGGCAGCAGAATGAAACAGTAAGCGTGAATTGTGTCTAAAAGACCACTACCTAATATACTATTTAGTGAACATAATTTTTCCAATTATTTGCTAAAGTGAATATTTATGGCTAGAGTCTTTCCCCCAATAACCCCATACAAAACAAGCACACCTAATGTCATAGAGTGAAACATAAAAAAATACAGCAAATATAAGAGAGAAGGGAGAGTTTTACCTGTTCTTCACAACAAATGCCAGCAGACTGGTTGTATTTGATTGTTTATATATGTGCAAACTGGACTTTGCTTTATCCTGACAGCATTAATACCAGCAGAGCACAGGCTGCCTGCTAATTCATTTATCTCGAGATGAACTTTAACCTGACACCTCACATCAGCTACTACAAAATGATTCATTTTAATGAAATATTATGGATCCTCAGATTTCACCATTATGGACCTTGGGCACATCAGACAATACTTATTGAAATCCTCATTCACTCTAATTTCAGACATTTTAGAAAAAGAGAGTATAGAAAGGCACATTGTTGTGAAAGACCTTTTTAGACTGCATGTGGTACACAAATGCAAAATCTAATATAAAGATCAAAAAGTACTTGCACCATGCAAAGTTTGCACCCTATTTATTTATTATTGGTATTTTTTATTTATTTATTTTTTTTAGCACAAATTTCCAATGGCTAGTCTATAGAATATTAAGAACAAAAAAACAGGATTGAGACATTACCAGCTCCTTAAAGGTACACAGTAGGTACACTATAACCATTTCATCTCATTGAATTGGTTATAATAGCCAGAATCCCCTGGCACTGTTCCTCAATTCAGTGTTAAACTATTTCAAGCCATTAAGCACTAAATAGGGTTCCGTGGCAACCCCATGCTCCTACTAGAGGTATAGCCAGGGCCACCACCAGAAATTTTGGGGCCCCTAACTCAGCTCAGGGTCTGGGCCCCCCAGGGGCCCGCCTCCAAGCCCACCCACAGGGTCCGCCTCCAAATCCCGCTCACAGGAATAAACACACAAACACACACACTGATACAAAAGGACACAGATACACACACACACAGATGCATACTAACAGACACACATACTGAAACAGACATACACGCATATAGGCATACATACTGACACACACATACTGAGACATACACACATATACAGACACACAGCAGGCATACATAGTGACAGACAGACACATACTGACATACATACAGACACCGACATACATACACGCATACATACAGACATACATGCATACAGACACTGACATCCATACACACACAGACATACATTCATAATGACATACAGACATACATTCATACTGACATACATTGATACTGGCATACATACAGACATACTGACATACATTCATACAGACATAGTGACAGACATACAGACATATATACATACTGACAGACATACATACATGTGGCGGAACCAACCTCGCCACTGTGCATTGGAGGAGCCTGGTTGCCTGCCTGCTCCCCTTAGACTATGGACCTGCATTTTAAAACACTATTTTCCCTGCAGAAAGGCGTGTTCGTGCCTTTCTGCCCGGGGCATTCGGTAGATTCAATCTACCGAACAAACTAACAAACGGCCGACTACCAGGGACTTTCAGATGTCTTCAATTGGCCTCCCAGAAGCGGCGTGTGCCATCAATTGACCACCCAGATTGCTACCGGGTAGTCGCGGTTGCGCATAACTAACACAGGGTGGCAGCATTCTGCGTGGCCAGCAGTGTGCAGTCTCAAATTCATGGAACTAAAAACGGACACTTTTACTTGTGAACACCGCTGAGCCACCAGCCTTCCCTGCTTCTAGCTCCGGTCGTTTAGCCGAACGCTAGATAAATCGGGACTTTAACTAGGTGAATGCTTTAACCCAGATAGCTATGCCATGGAGCCTATTCATGTAATAAGGGACTTTGGCTCCATGGCAATTGAACGGTAAGTGTGAGATCAGAGCGCCATTCGGTAATAATGTGCACTCAGATCTAAGCTATCTGGGGATATGTTACATGTGGGTATTTTATGTAATAAATGTAACATTGTATATTTTAATGTCTTTTATTGTCCTTTGTCTGCCATGTGGTTAATGGAGTCTTGCCTCTGTCCTTGGAGATAATTGGATTACTTCCCAATTATCTCCAGGATAGAGAGGAGGGATTACAATGTATTGTGGGAATGTTTTTACACTGTATGTCTGTAATTGGTCAGTGTCTGTCCTGTATCCCAGTCTTCCATCTGGTCCCTAGTGGAGTGTCCACCAGGTGGGAGACCTGCATAAAAGCCGGATAGGTGGCCCCAGTAAACAGAGTTCTGCTTGACCCTCAAACAAGTGGCGTCTCGTTCTTGGGGGGAATTGGATTGTATGCTGTTACAGTGCAACTGTTCGTATGGTTTTTCCTGTTAGGCTGTTTAAGAGGAAGTTGGAGGATTCGTATGGTTCCAGTTCGGGAGTTGGAGAATTTGTGTGTTTGCAGTTCGAGAGATTGGTGATTGCAGTACCTGCCTGTGCATCTGAAAGGGGAATATCGCCTAAACGGTTTTTAACCTCTTGTGTGCAAAACGGTCCATTACAATACATACATACATTCATACAGACAGACATGTATACTGACATACATGCATACAGACACTGACATCCATACACAGACATACATTCATAATGACATACAGACATATATACATTTATACATACTGACATACATGCATACAGACACTGACATCCATACACACATCCATACATACATTCATAATGACATTATTTATTTATTTATTTATAAAATATTTTACCAGGAAAGATACATTGAGATTTCTCTCGTTTTCAAGTATGTCCTGGGTCCACAAATCATTGCATTGTTACATTAGGTACAACAAAATACAAAAACAATATTAATACACAATATATACAAAATTTAACATAGAACAGGCAGGAAATATATAATCAACCATGACATGTGCATTCTGTTTTGAGGTATGTAGAGAGGGATCTCTTAAATGACTTTAGGCTTAGGGAAGATTTTAAATTGTGCGGGAGGTCGTTCCACAATTGCGGCGCTCTGTAGGAGAAGGAGGATTGGGCCGCTTTCTTTTTGTATTGAGGTAGACTAAGTAAAGTGCTTGTACTGGATCGGAGCTTATAGTAAGTGGGAACAGCTAAGGAAAGCATTTTGTTCAGGTAGGGTGGGAGTTTCCCAGAGAAGCTCTTAAAAACAAGGCTGGAAAGATGAAGGGTGCGTCTGGATTCCAGCGACAGCCAGTTTAGTTCCTTTAGCATGTCACAATGATGGGTCCTGTAATTACATTGTAGCACAAATCGGCAGAACGAGTTATACAATGTGTTGAGTTTATTAATGTGGGATTGCGATGCAGACGCATATACTACATCCCCATAATCAATGATTGGCATCAGCATTTGCTGTACAATCTTTTCCTTTACTGTAGGGCTTAGGCAGGCTTTGTTTCTGTACAGGGCACCTAATTTTGGATAAAGTTTAGATGCAAGCTTTTCTATGTGCAGGCCAAAAGATAGATTGGGGTCTAATATCATACCCAAGTATTTGAAAGAGTGGACTGCGGTCAGTGTGCCATTTGAATTTGTTTTGATGGATAGGTGGGGATTGTGTAATTTGTGCAATTTAGGTACTGTTCCAAAGATCATTGTGACAGTTTTGTCAGTGTTCAGGAAGAGTTTGTTTTTTGCGATCCACTTTTCTACCTCTGTAAACTGGTCTTGGAGCAAAGCCTCAAGTTGCGGTAGATTGGGTTTGCTCGCATAGATTACCGTGTCATCTGCGTACATGTGTACATTTGAGGATTGGCAGGCATAAGGCAGATCATTTATAAATAATGTAAATAGTAGGGGGCCGAGAATGGAACCCTGGGGAACACCACACGTGACCGGGAGAGGGAGGGAGTCACTGTCAGAAATGGACACATATTGCGAGCGATCCGATACATACGATCGAAACCAGTTTAAAGAATGATCACCAATACCTGAGTTTTCGAGTTTGTGCAGTAGAATGTCGTGGTCTACTGTGTCAAAGGCCTTAGCAAAATCAAGGAAAATAGCTCCAGTTAGGGCTCCTTGTTCCATGCCAGTTTGGATGTCATTGCAAACTTTTAGGAGGGCAGTTGTAGTGGAGTGATTCTGGCGAAAGCCCGATTGATCAGGGGTCAGATAGTTTAATTGTTGGTAGTACTCACAAAGTTGCGTATGGACACATCTTTCTAAGATTTTTGACAATACCGGGAGCAATGATATTGGGCGATAGTTAGAAACCAAAGTAGTGTCACCACTTTTATGGATAGGCACTACTCTCGCAGTCTTCCAAAGTTTGGGTATGTATCCAGACACCAAGGATTCGTTAATTAGAGTTGAGACGGGTTTAGCAATTGCCGGGGCACTGAGCTTCAACAGCATTGCTGGGATTTGATCAGGTCCGGACTGGTTTTTCATTTTTAGATTATTAAGATGTTTTTTAATGACACTAACAGGTACAGGTCTAAAATTAAACTTATCTATATTGGGCCTTTGCAAATTTAGTGGGGCCTGATCCACATTTGTAGTTTCAAGATGCGTGTCATTTATTAGCTTGTCAATCAGGGCAGTAGAGCATCCGACAAAATAATTGTTAAAGGCATTTGCAACATCTAAAGGAAGTTGCAGGGTTTGGTTACCCACTTTGACAGTGGAGGGTTGGGAGTGGATTGGGGGAGTTTGTAGTTTATTTATGACTTTCCAAAAGTTTCTAGGGTTTGAGATGTTACTGTTCAGATTTTCATAGAAATATTGGGCCTTGGCCAGTTTTGTCTGTTTTGTGCATATATTTCGCCATTGTCTATATGCACCGTGATCATTCATAGAGCCAGTACGCTTAAACTTTGACCACAAAGAATCCCGAAACTGGTACATTTGGATGAGGTCAGCTGTGATCCAGTTCATATGCGCTCCTTTTACCCTCACCTTACGCAGCGGGGCATGCAAATTCCAAATTTGTAGGAGTTCAGACTGAAAGTATTCAACAGCACAGTCTAGATCTGGGATAATGTTTAATCTGTGCCATGAGAGATTCTTGATGTCATTTAAAAAGGATTCAAGATTAAATTTTTTGAAGGACCTAGTTATTTTAACCTTGGGAGAGGATTTAATAGCCTTTATTTTGCGCACGCAGTACACTAAACAGTGATCACTGAACGTGTTGGGGAGAACACCAACCTCCTGGATTCTATCAGGAGAAGTGCAGAGAATCCAATCTAGCAG